CAACTCAATACACAAGCATCAAATGATTAGCCACATACACACCATACACACAGATCTGAAACATGTATTACGTAACGTAACCATGGTTCTCTCAAGAAGAGGGAACGACTATTGTGTAAGTTAGCTTATGCTATGGGAAAGATTAATCTTTTCTTGAGATATTGAAGCAAAAAAACTAATAATTATCCCTAATTTTGTATTCTTGTCAACACAGTGCAGCAGCTTGCAAACCTTGAGCAGGCTGTCTAGCATGCTCATAGGCTGCCCTGTGGGAACTGCAGCAGCCAACCACTGTGCCCAACGGGATGTCACATCCAATGAAGGGCGCTCGCGCCTTCACACGCGTCATAGCCCGGCAGTATGGGTGTGGCTGAACGTATATAAGCAGGGCTCTGAGGCTGTTTCTCTGGTTACGCAATACTCGTTCCCTCTTCTAGAGAGAACCGAGGTAATGTTAGGTAACCGATACGTTCTCTTAAGAGAGGTTCTCTTGTATTGCATAAGTTTGCTTATGCTACAGGAACCCTTTGTCAACGCAGTGCATGCCAAGCATCCACTCATGAGTCCCAGGGTTTACCCGGGAACCCAGATAAGTGGGAAAATTAGGCGGCCAGCAACGCGGGCCAGCACTTGTACAAAAGCACTCGTAGGGAATACAGAGCGGCGCTGCTAGTCTGTATAAGCACAAAACACATACCCACTGGTGCAGCTCAACCAGAAGAGCTAAGACACTTGAGAGTAGCCTGCGCACAATCATATCTGGACAGAAACGTACATCTCACTTAAACTGACAGAAGTTTAGCCTGCAGAGCGGGAACTTCTAGGTTGTAGAACCTCACAAAGGTGGACAGGGAGGCCCAGCCTGTGGCAACAGAGAGATCAGGGGGAAGGCATACAGCAGGTGGCTGGGCCAGATTTGGGCCAGCACTTCCTTGCTCTTTGAAAAGAACATCAGGCAGTGAGCGTCCTTTCACGCAAATAAGTCGACTGCCAAACAGGCGCCATAATTCCTTGACTGTTTGGGGGTGCAGGGATCATTCCCAGTTCTATCTCTGACTGTGCCAAAATTAGCCAGTCCTCCAGATGGGGTGCCCTCTCGGGGGTGGCGGTCTGTGATGGCTGTCCAAACACGACCTAGGGTGGCAGCCCTGACGTTGCTGCAAAGGCTGGTTAGGCTGTGTTGGACGCTGAGTGGTGGCTCGTGCAGGTGGCTGGTCACGTGAGCGGCCTGTAGAGGAACTCGAGCGTCGAGGTAGAAGAAGATTGATGGCCTGCGTGGTCTTTTGTACCTTGGAGAAACTGTTGACGATGTCGCTCACCGCTGAGCCAAAGAGACCAGTAGGAGAAAGTGGCACGTTGAGGAAGTTGGCGCACTCAGATTCCCTCATGTCGGCAAGCGTCAACCAGAGGTGCCTCTCTGTGACGATTAATGCGGCTATATACCTGCCGATCGCTTGAGATGCAGTCTTAGTAGCGTGCCCTTCTTGTCCCATTCACGGATGAGGTCGGCTTGCAGGATCTGAAGTACAGCCATTGAAAGCAGGGCAGAAGCAGCCTGTCCGGCAGAGGCTTATGTGCAGCAGACAAGGGCGGATGTGGCTCTGCAGGCTTCAGACGGCAGGGCAGACTTTGAGCGCCATCTCGCAGAGGTGCGCTGTGAACGCCTCCTCCACAGTGGGAATGGCAGTGTATCCCTTCTTGAGAGCGATGGGGAAAATTGGGAGTGAAGCCTCAAAAAGAATGGTACATTCCATGACTTCACAGTTCCGTGTGGAGTTCAGGCAGAAACAGGGCGACCCTGGCTGCTGGCGCTTGACGGCGGCGACTCTGAAGAAAGCCACTGTCGAGTCTGTTCGGTGCGGGCAGCGACCACTCGAGCCCGAGTTGGTCAACGGCTTGAGACAGGAGGCACATCAACTCAGCTTCCATACCAGCACGGGTCCGGCTGGATTCCTGGGTCGAGGAGGAGTGATGAGAACCCGACCACTCCTCGCTGTTCGATGCCAGGATGGAACAGCAATGCCTTGTGGCGTTTCCTTCAGCCTCGTCATCATCGGAACGACGGCAGTGTGGCTCGTGAGTGGCAGCTGTGCATCTGTGAGGGGAGGTGGAGAAGGTGAAGGAGGGAGTCCGGCGGTGTGTTGCGGTGGCCACATGCTCCAGTGGCCTTTGAGAACGGCGCTTCTTTTATCTTTTTCCTGCAAAGGGCGGAGTGACAGCTTGAGGGTTGAACACTTCGAGCCGAGCCCGCAGGTTCGACATCAGAAGTGCGTCACAAAGCTCACAACCCCCTGACGAGAGGGCAAGAGCTACGTGTTCCTGGCCCAGGCAGAGAGCACAGATCACATGGCGGTCTTCGTCACTGAGCCAGGCTCTGCATGAGCCACAGGAAGTGCGAGGGATCTTGAAAAAGATGCTCGCTGCTCTTTTAGCTCTTTTAGGAAAAAGGATATGTCGCCAGATAGCGTAGCTCTCATGGACGGCTTGAAGGTGGCGAAGATGGCCGGTTTCTTCAGGCGCTGTCCTAAGTTGGCTTTGTTGGCAGCTTCTCTCTAGATCCAGCGATGCGGAGAGCTTCACTGAAGAGATGAAAATCAGAGAAACAGTCTCCAAGTCCTACTTATATACGCTAAGCCACGCCCATACTGGCGGGCTATGATACTGTGAGCGCCCTTTATTGGACGTGACGTCACGTCAGGGCAGGCTCAGTGGTAGGTTGCAGCAGTTCCCACAGGGCAGCATATGAGCACGCTAGACAGCCTGCTCTAGGTCTGCTAGCTGCTGCATTGCGTTGACAATGAATACAAACTTAAGGATAATTTTTTTTTTTTTTTTTTTGGCTTCAATATCTTGAAAACATGAATCTTTCCCAGAGGTTAAGCTAACTTAAGCAATACGAGAGAACCTCTCGTAAGAGAACACTCTCTCGTGTTTTTATCTTGTTCAGAGTACAGTGGAGTTACAGTAGTTATCACACACACATTTGCACAAAAACACTGCGCATACATGTCTGATAAATTTTACAGTTATTGAACTGAGCTGGATAATGACAAAATAAAATAGCCTGAATTGTATAAATCGCTGTAGAAATGAAGGTGTCCACTTGGATATATTCAGAAGGCTATTTATAAACAGACGCAAGGGGTAAAAAAATTTCTTTCTTTCTCAAACATTCGGTCTCATTCACTAATAATTGCGTGGATTATTTCGTAAGTGTACACATAGGATTCACAAACACGGGAATTTGAAGTGCTCTACATGAGCGTGTGCGTTCACGAGACTAGCATTAGCATAAGAGACGCCCAGCCATCATCTTCATCTCCATATAAGGGTTTCCGCACAGCCTTTTGCATTTAGGGCTGTGGTCCTGGTCAAGACAATCTCCTGAACTCCAAACTGAATGTAAGAATGGGAAAGAACGAAGATTTAAGCAATTTTGAGCGTGGCATGGTTGTTGGTGCCAGACAGTTCGGTCTGAGAATTTCACAATCTGCTCAGTTACTGGGATTTTCACTCACAACTTTGACTGAAATAACCACTCATTACAACCGAGGTACGCAGCAAAGCATTTGTGAAGCCAAAACACGCACAACCTTGAGGCGGATGGGCTACAACAGCAGAAGACCCCACCGGGTACCACTCATCTCCACTACAAATAGGAAAAAGAGGCTACAATTTGCAGGAGCTCACTAAAATTGGACAGTTGAAGACTGGAAAAATGTTGCCTGGGCTGGAGTCTCGAATTCTGTTGAGACATTCAGATGGTAGAGTCAGAATTAATTCTGTTTATATCATTCGGAATAAACAGAATGAGAACATGAACACTTGTTACCACTGTGCAGGCTGGTGGTGGGGGTGTAATGGTGTGGGGGATGTTTTCTGTGCACACTTTAGGCTCCTTAGTGCCAATTGGGCATTGTTTAAATGCCACGGCCTACCTGAGCATTGTTTCTGACCATGTCCATCCCTTTATGGCCACCATGAACCCATCTTCTGATGGCTACTACCAGCAGGATAATGCACCATCTCACAAAGCTTGAATCATTTCAAATTGGTTTCTTGAACATGACAATGAGTTCACTGAACTAAAATGGCCCCCACAGTCACCAGATCTCAACCCAATAGAGCATTTTTGGGATGTGGTGGAACGAGAGCTTCATGCCCTGGATGTGCATCTAACAAATCTCCATCAACTGCAAGATGCTATCCTATCAATATGGGCCAACATTTCTAAAGAATGCTTTAAGCACCTTGTTGAATCAATGCCATGTAGAATTAAGGCAGTTCTGAAGGTGAAAGGGGGTCAAACACAGATTAGTATGGTGTTCCTAATAATCCTTTAGGTGAGCTTTCTATTGTATTATTTATTAATTTTATAATTTTTAATATAGGCTAATATAATATAAAATAGACTAATTTAATATGATATAATTATTAAGAAAGTGCTTTGGCTACGTGTGGTTTCAGTTGTTCCTAAATCTTTTCGTAAATCTAGAATAATACATTTTAGCACAAAAGTTTTTAGTGATTCGTGATCTGCTCTGCTTGTTCAATCTTAGGCTAAATGAGTGAATGTAGGCTATATTACATTGCATTAACAAGAACAGCATGGTCAAATGCACAGACTGTGATGGAGCTTCATATTTCGCATGATGCGTGTTGATTATGTTAAACCATACATCTGTATTGTATCTCCAGGAGGACATCCGCAGCTTCCATGAGTAAATAATTATTTTTATAATTCATTATTTCTATATTGATATAATTGATACAAATATTTATAGGCAATTAAATGTTGTGCGCAATATTTTTCTATAGACAATAATGTCACACAGAGCAAACAGCAAAACCAAGGACGAAATAAAACCTGAAACTTTCAGCACCACTAGCCTCAAAGCCTATGCTCAAAGCATGTGTTTTAATGGTAACACCCCGGGCTGTAACCATAGACAGTAGGCTGTAACTTCCTCTCTGTAGTTTAAAGGGGCGCATAACGGAAGTGACGATGAAATACGGAAAGATGCTCGTCGGACAGCCGCTATAGGATCAATATATTTACAGAAATAAAAAATATGCAGATAGGCCAATTTGAAAGAAGAAGAAAAACACATCGAATTCAAAGAAATAAGCTGGAAGTAGTAACTTTTTAATGTTACGCTCACGGACCACGTATTTGTCATGTGGCGAATCTCTGTTAAAAAACTTTGTGCTTTTTGTCTCTGCGCGTGTGCGTTTGTGTTTTTTATCATGACATTTCAGGTACAATATTAACTTTATCTTTTATCTGAAGCTTCAAATAGCCGGCAAAGATTTGCACACCTAACCATGTTGTTTTATGGCGAGAGCCTGTGTTTCTAAACTTAGTAAGCGTCTCACCTCCGTGCACGCGCTCGATTCCGTGGCGTGAACGCCCCTACTCGTAGCAGCTCACTGGGGTTTGATACACGGCCATGCAGAACACAACCATAATGTGCTCGCTTTAAAGTGTCTCTTGTTCACAGGTTGCTTTCGGGATCTGCTCAAGTCTCTCACTAACATCTGGATAACTCTCTATCCTTTTCCTCATCCCTGGTATTTCCTTTTACTAAAATCTCCCATTTTCCATCCTTGCAACCTGACATATTGAAATAAGTAACAGCTGATTATTGGTTGATGTTTTCACTATTAGATGCATTGCATTTCTCATATAGGAGTTTTCTCCACTTCTCTAAAACAGCTTGTAGAAGAAGTGTGTGTCTGCAGACAGTGAGTGTGAGATGTGCTTGTCCTCCTCCTCATGTGTGTGGCGTAGTCTCAGTGTCCTGTACTCTCTCTCTGCAGGTCGTTGAGGAGCTGGCCCGGTTTGAGCAGGCCCACAGCAGACGGCAGGTCCCGGAAAAGGCCGCTGAGGGCCCGTACCCTGTGGTCGTGTGGTGGTCTCCTCTGACGGGAGAGCTGGGACGCCTCGGACAGTGTGGCCGCAACAAATGCTTCTTCACTGTTAATAGGTCCTATCATTCACATCCACAGACAAAAGCTTTTCTTTTCTATGGTGAGTTTGGTGGTGTAAACATTCATTTTATTCCCTCATTGATTTTCATTTGTATATATTTTGACTTATTGAGTAAGGATGCACCAATATTATAATTCGATCCAATACCAAAAAGCTGATATTAAAATTGTCTAAGTGAAATGCTATAAACTAGTATCAATTGTTTTAAATGCTACAAAAGAAATTTAGCCATCACAACATTATGATGTACTGTATGAAAATGGAAATATATTTGAAGATTTGCTAAAGATTACATTTAACAGTGTAATTAAAATTAATGATTAACTTTTAGGTGATTGTTAGATGACATCAAAGGTATTTTACATCTAAAAATCGGTCAAATGAGCATGCGCAATTCAATATCTAATATCAGCCGATATTGGTGAATTGGTACCCGGTGGGGTCTTCTGCTATTGTAGCCCATCCGCCTCAAGGTTGTGGGTGTTTTGGCTTCACAAATGCTTTGCTGCATATTTCGGTTGTAACGAGTGGTTATTTCAGTCAAAGTTGCTCTTCTATCAGCTTGAATCAGTCGGCCCATTCTCCTCTGACGTCTCGCATCAACAAGGCATTTTCACCCCACAGGACTGCCACATACTGGATGTTTTTCCCTTTTCACACCATTCTTTGTAAACCCTAGAAATGGCTGTGTGTGAAAATCCCAGTAACTGAGCAGATTGTGAAATACTCAGACCGGCCCCATCTGGCACCAACAACCATGCCACGCTCAAAATTGCTTAAATCACCTTTCTTTCCCATTCTGACATTCAGTTTGGAGTTCAGGAGATTGTCTTGACCAGGACCACACCCCTAAATGCATTGAAGCAACTGCCAAATGATTGGTTGATTAGATAATTGCATTAATGAGAAATTGAACAGGTGTTCCTAATAATCCTTTAGGTGAATGTATATGTGCGCAGGTGTGTAGTCCTTTACATATCAACCCTCAACAATTTACTTGTCTGGTTTTAAAATTGTGTAATACAAAATTTTTTGTCGCTTCTGCATAGCCAGAAAGAACAGAACATAGAGGGCACTGGGGTATCACATACAGTTATGTTGCTCATATACAGGTAACCTCATAACAGGGGTTCCTCTCCCAATAGTCCCGAGAGACAGACAGACAGACATTTGGTAATGGTGATATCAGGTCCATAAAAGGTTCAAGGTCGCCTCATAAATCATTCAATACAGAATATTTTCATTAGACAAATATTTCACATACTGGAAAATAGGAAGAGATTATCAGTAATAATAATGATAAAACACACATTGCAGTTCATTTACAATATCTCCCAGTGTTCCATCAATACTCCTACACATTTTGACAAGTACTTGTAAACTGCATCCATGTTTAATCTTAGAGAAGGTCAGATTTTATATATCATTCATATCTTTTACAGCAGTATCCACTCTATTTTATTTGTGGATTGTCATTCAGCCATTTCCTAGTTATTGCTTTCTAGCAACCGGTTCTTTAGGTATAGGTACTTGCCTTGAGTATTAAGATCAGTTGGCATGTTTCCTAAATACACAGTACCGAAGCTTTACTCCATCTCGATTCCAAATATCAATGTTATTTCAGTTTATTAAATGGTTAGTTCCTGTCCTTGATTTTGAATGGTCCGTTTTTAATGTTTCGTATTGGATGAGATTGTAAGGTATAGGGTTTGGGTCTATTGTTTAAACCTTGAATCCAACTGTGCAGGTTTAACATCTTTGTCATAGGCGAACCCTTCTTAACCATGATCTTGACAAACGTGTTTGTTTCTCGAGCTCAACATTTTTACATTCCTTAAACCGAGTATTGAGAGGAACCATCATTCAATGGCTCCATTAATTAGAGTGCTTAATCTTAGTGGCTTCATTCCCTAATAAGGAGGGGAGGGGAATGTCCGGTTCATACTCATCATTACACCAACAAACTGGATATTTTAACTGTGCTGGTGTGTAATAATCCTAGAAACATGGAATAGACAGTCCTCCTCGCTCCTGTGATAATTGTAGTGTTTTAAGTCTGACCCTAGGCTTCTGATTTTGCCATACGAATAGAGATCATGCAGGAATCTCTACAGGCCGTGATTGGAATAGAAACTGTAATCACGTGGAAACGTTCATTCTTATTATTTCAATTGGATTATACAGCAGATTAAGGGCAGCCATTCATCTGTCCAAATCTACTTTTAGGTCTTTTGTTATGGATTTGTTAAGGATATGGATACATTTTTGTCACATATCGTCTGAATATTTAATATTATTTGTTTTGTTCGTATGTTCTCCTGTGGTTAATAATAATTAAAAGAGACGATTTGAGTTTTGTCTAAATTTAATCTGTATCCTGAGTACCGATCTATGAGACTGAGTCGGAGATTGTCTTAAAGGAGAACTCCGGCGAACAATGAACCTTTGGTCTAATAAAACATCGGTACATAGTCAACCGTTCTCTGAGATTTGTTTTCATGATAATCGATTGTAAAGAGTTTTATCTCTAAAAACTGTTTAGCGTATAATGCTAGTACTGGGGGCATTGACTAAGTAAAAGAAATCGCTAGTTTATACCACTAATAAGGCTCAAAATAGCCCCACACTCACACAGTAATATAATGAGGCTCCATACATGCAAAACGAAGCATTGAAAACTTTGTAAGTGTACAGACCGTTTAATAAGAAGATACTTTATGAAGACAGTTCGCTTCGCGTATACAGGCAGCAGCCATCTTAAAAAATAGTCTCGATAAGTCGATCCCCGAACGACGTGCTGAGTGATCTGAACTGTATGAAGTTCAGCGAACTTCTGAACTGTATGAACCGCTTTCGGGGATCGACTTATCGAGACTATTTTTTAAGATGGCTCCTGTCTGTATACACGAAGTGAACTGTCTTTATAAAGTATCTTCTTATTAAACGGTCTGTACACTTACAAAGTTCCCAATGCTTCGTTTTGCATGTATGGAGCCTCAGTATGTTTCTGTGTTAGTGTGGGGCTATTTTGAGCCTTGTTAGTGGTATAAACTAGCGATTTCTTTTTACTTAGTCAATGCCCCCATTACTAGCATTATACGCTAAACAGTTTTTAGAGATAAATCTCTTTACATTCGATTATCAAGAAAACAAATCTCAGAGAACGATTGACTAGGCACCGATGTTTTATTAGACCAAAGGTTCATTGTTCGCCGGAGTTCTCCTTTAAGAATATCATCCGCATATAGACATATTTTGTGTTTATTTCCTTTAAATAGGAATCCTGGTATTTCTATATCTTTTCTAATTGCTTAAACAAGCAAAATGCATCTCATAACCTTACAACCAAAATAATAAGCCAAATTGTAATGTAAAAACATGCATTTTCTGTAAAACTGCTTTGAAACTATGTATTGTGAAAAGCGCTATACAAATAAATGTGAATTGGATTGAAATTATACTACACAGAATATAAAATTTTACATTTTAGCAAAGTAATTACTAATAGGACGTAGTAAAGTAATTAATTAAAAGGACGCGATTTCGGACAGCCTCTGTTTCGCTTTTGTTTTAGTTCTCCTTGCTCATGCGTCTAGTTTTCTCTAGTTTTTCTTATGTGTTATGTGTTTCCATGGCAACCCATTGTGTTCACCTTTTCATCGTTTAGGAGGGACTTTAAGCTACAGCCTCTTGTGGAACCATAGACATACACTAGACTTCACCTTGGGGTTCTAAGCATGCGTCAAAACCGCCGCCATCTTAGAACAGGGGTCTTGTCATAGGAAGTAGCTAGGTAACGCTGCTATCTCTGCCTTTACTTCGAATTCATTGATGGTGGCGGACATTTGTGCAGCGTATGATGTTCAAGAAAGAAATCTGAACTAGGAAGAATGTTCTTTCTGGAATCAATGATAAATACATGTCTGACCGTTGGAACAAACCAAAAAAACAAGAAAAATCGCATTCATGATGATTTATGGTGATTTTATTTACGTTAGACCTGTGTCTACTACATTGATGCTCATGCATTAAAGTGGAGGGGCTCCCCTGTTTCAAGATGGCGGCTCTATTGACGCATTCGTTCCAATGAACTGCCGTAGCCAAGGTGAGGTCTAGTGGATATGTCTATGTTGTGGAACGGCAACGGCATTCTGGTGTTCTGTTGTGCATGCGCGACATTAACTGCTACAGTACTTCATGATGTTCTAAGTAACCGTCTACTACGGGAGAACAGCTGATTTCCCGTAGTCGTTACTACGTGACAGATTAAGACAGTTAATGTTATGTTTTAGGTTATGTGGCATTGTAATTGTTTCTGTATATCATTAAGTGCCAAAATCAGCCCTTCTCTTACTTTTTAAAATCACTTTCTTTTTTGGATTTTGTCTGATGATTAAATTAACCCCTATGCCGTCCACTTTACTGTTGCTTAGTGATTTTTGCGCTCTTTAGCTACGGCAGTTAATTGTTTACTTCCGGCTGTCGTTGCCATTCTATCTGCAGCTGTTGCTGAGTCCCTATTGTCCCATTTAGTCTTTTGTGTGTGTGTGTGTGTGTGTTTATGTGTGTATACCCCTGTTTAGTTCAGTCCCTTGTTGGTTCTTATTTGTATAGTGGTTTGCTTTATTTATGCTGGTTATATACTTTTGGAGCTCCTTTATCATGAATGTTGTGGTTTGCTTTTGGTGGATCTCATGTGAGATCACATTACTAAAAGCTCATCCACCTAGAACAGCAACCCAGCAAACACAGAACGTTCCAGAATGGTCCCATGAGGTTATTTTTTTGGGAACCAAACAAAAGCGTTATAGGAACGTTCCATGTAGGTTATTTTTAGGTTCCATTTTTATAATGTAAGGAGAATGTTCCGGGAACGTTCCCTTAACCTTAAGGGAAAGTTCTAGGAACGTTCTGGGAACTAAAATTTGTTTACTGGGAATCCCATGTTTATTTATTAAATCTTAATATTATTTTCAGTTTTTATCATAAACCAAAGGACCAATAGCATTCAACATAATTGCACAAATAGTGTTTACAGACCTAGTACTGAACTCACCCCTTTCTTTCTACTTGTTTTCTTTCATCAGGTACCGATTTCAGCGTTGAAAGCCTCCCTCTTCCGAGACACGAGCAGCACCAGTGGGCGCTGTTTCACGAGGAGTCACCCAAGAATAACTACAAGCTTTTCCACGAGCCGCTCATTACCCTGTTCAACCACACAGCGAGTTTCAGCCGGCACGCTCACCTGCCCCTCACCACACAACACCTGGAGGGCATCCGCGAGCTCACCGCACACACACATCTGCTCCCTCTGGCCTACAAAAACCAGCTGAGGAAAACCCTGGCACCTGTGGTGTACGTCCAGTCTGACTGCCACCCGCCGTCCGATAGAGATGTCTACGTTCAAGAGCTGATGCAGCACATTCAAGTGGACTCGTACGGGCAGTGTCTACATAATAAAGACCTGCCGCCCCATCTGAGAGACTCCACTGCAATGGACGATCAGGATTTCTACCAGATCCTCGCCCAGTACAAGTTCGTCCTGGCCTTTGAGAACGCCATCTGTGAGGACTATATCACTGAGAAACTGTGGAGGCCGCTCAAGCTAGGTGTTGTGCCAGTGTATTATGGAGCACCCAACGTACACATGTGGCTGCCGGATAACAGGAGCGCGGTCGTGGTCCATCCCGACGACCCGCCGGAGAAGCTCGCTCTGTATCTAAAGAGGCTGGACAAGAATGACTGGGAATATCTCAAGTTCCTGGAGTGGAAGCACAAGCGTGAAATCTCAAATGTGAATCTGGTGACAGAACTGAAGGAACGTCCATGGGGTGTTCAGGATATCGGTCAGGATAACTTCATCGACGTCTTCGAGTGCATGGTGTGCAACCGGGTCTGGGAGAATATCCACAGGCAGGAAAAGGTAATGGCTTGATGTTTCTGATAGGATATGTCCAGATGAGTTAAGTTAAGATAAATTGTTGAGTTAAATAGTTGAGTCGATTTAAAGTTAAGTTGATTTGAGTTTATTTGAGGTAAGTTAAGTTGACTTGATTTAACTTAAGATAACTTAAATTAAATCAGCTCATCAACTTGATTTAACTTAAGTTGAGTTAGGTTGTTGAGTTGATTTAACTTAAGTCAAAATGTTTTGCTATTGTTAAAGGGTTAGTTCACCCAAAAATGAAAATTCTGTCAGTATTTACTCACCCTCATGTTGTTCCAACCCCGTAAGACCTTCGTTCATCTTCAGAACACAAATTAAGATATTTAGGATATTAAAATCGCTCCTGCATACTAGTCCATAGGCTTCTTGAGGGACTGGCTCTTGCCGTCCCCGAATAGTCATAAGACATCGTTAAAATAGTCCAAGTGACTACAGGGGCTCAATCTTAAGTTTATCAAACGACGAGAACACTTTTGTGCGCAAAAAAACAACAAAAATAACGACTTTATTTCAACTATTCGTTTATTTCTCCCTGTGCGCGAGTCAGGTTACTAGTTTAATAGCGTAAGCTTCTGTTATTGTACGTCACACGCATCACACACACATGACCAGCGTCGGCCAATAGTGAGCCTACGTGTGACGTAGCTCTACGCAATCACACTACGTTAACGGACTATAGGCTTATGGAGAAGGAAGTGAATAGTTGAAATAAAGTCGTTATTTTTGTTGTTTTTTTGCGCACAAAAGTGTTCTCGTCGTTTGATAAACTTAAGATTGAGCCCCTGTAGTCACTTGGACTATTTTAACGATGTCTTCAATTACTTTTCAAGGACAGCAAGAGCCAGTCCCTCAAGAAGCCTATGGACTGTATGCAGGAGCGATTTTAATATCCTAAATATCTTAATTTGTGTTCCGAAGATGAACGAAGGTCTTACGGGGTTGGACCAACATGAGGGTGAGTAAATACTGACAGAATTTTCATTTTTGGGTGAACTAACCCTTTAACTGGTTGTCTTTTATCCGGTCGATGACAGAAGCTGCCGTCTAAAGTCTGGCGGGCTGAAGAGAGCCACCTCAAGTGCCCATCTCCACAACTGTTTGACTTTGCAGAGAGCTCAAGCTCTCCTCTTCGGCAGATGTGGATGTCCAGTTATGAGCAGTCCAAGAGAGAAGCCAGAGCGCTTGGACTGATGTTACGCAGGAACAGAAACTTTACCGTCACACAGTTCTGGAGAGAAGTTTTCACCGACCCGTCCTGAATGTTCATGTTGATAGTAAAAATGTGGGCTGCATTTCATGACGTGAAAGGACTTCAAGGTAATGTGTAATTTATAGGGCTATTTTCGTGTGGAAAGTTGTATGGCAAGCCGTTTGAACTTTTATTCATTTCCAGGATATGAATTCTTGATATCAACAATTGTATTTTCACTAGTGAAATGTCACCATAGACTACCATTCAAAACCATTTGTTGATATCAAGAATTGATTTCTTACTAGTTGAAATTCCAATTTCACATATCAGAAATACAATTATTACTAGTAAAAACCTTTATTTTTGATATCAAGAATTCAACTGTTAATAGTTGAAATGTCTATTCTTGATATCCACAAATTAATAGCTACTAGTAACAATGATCAATTTTTACTAGTGACAATGTTAATTTCTTGTACCATGAATGTGATTGTTACTAGCAAGAAAGCCATTTTAGATATCTGAAATAATACTGATATCAGAAATACATTTTCAGATATCAAAAATTATATTTTTACTAGTACCAATTGAATTGTTGACATCAAGAATAGACATTTCAACTAGTGACAATTTAATTATTGATATCAGGAATTCACATTTTTACTAGTAACAATGTAATTATTGATATCAAAAATAGTAAAAAATAAATTTCTGGATATCAACAGTTTATTTTGAATGGCAGCCTGAAATTTCACTAGTGAAAATACATTTACAGATATCAGCAATTAAATTGTTGATATCAAGAATTCATATCCTGGAAATGAATAAAAGCTAAAACGGCTTGCCATAAAGTTGTGTAATTCATAACATTATCACACATAATCTTTAATGTGGACATGACATTTTGTGTCAACAGTCGGTGCAATGCTCAGGATATGGCATGCACTAACCACTGATCTATATAATGACTGGAAAGCTCATGATGTTCTAAACTGCCACTTACAATTTCCTACCAGCAGAGGGCTCTAACTGCCGTTACAGAGAGATTGGTTGCTCCGACGCACTTTTAAGATGACCTGCTGTGCATCATACAAGTGTAAACAAAAGTTCACAAAAGGATCTAGAAAAACTGCTCACAGGTTGTAATTTAAGCCCATAGGTAGTAATTTATCTGCACAATTGTCGCTATTTCAGTGTTGTTTTTTTCCGAGGCAAGAGTTGCCTAATGCTTTTTCTTCAAAAAAACAAACGATAAAACATTCATCAGTCTATAAGGAATCTCAGAGCAGCAATAATCACAATTAAGAGTCCAATAGTGACCCCATTTAACAGCTTCAAAAGAGCTTCATGCAGAGTCCATTTACCATTACTAAGGCCTGCGGTGTTTACAGTGCGCAACTGATCTACGTCTGTACCACAAACAACATTTATTCTCTATTTTTTCATTTCAAATCACTGCTTTTATTAACAGCGTCTTTTATAAAACTTTTTTTTTTTTTAATCATAGCCTACAATGCATTCTTTCACAGACGTATTAAGTTTAAACCCAATAAACTTAAAAAACGTAGTATTCAATGCATTACTTCTTGTTCATTTAATTAAACGCATCTATTTACTATATTTTCATGTCAATCCGTGTTCAGTTTGACCACAAACCATGCGCTGTCACTTTAATGTTAATGTTTATGTGCCTTAATTACTTGCTCACTCCTATTACCAATACCACAGTGGGTTAATGGAAAGCTGTTACAGTATTGATTAATCTTGTTAATGTTACAGTTTATTCGTCTTTGTTAATGCTAGTTAAAAAAGACTGTTCATTCAAAAAAATGATTAACAGATGATGGAAAATGTATTAGTAAATGTTGAAATTAATGCTTTTTAAGTATTTTAAAAATTGATATTAACTTATGTAGTTGACTTTTGTTAACAAATGGGACTTATTGCAATGTGTTTCCAAAATGTGTTCACCAGGGGTGTCTGATCCTGCTCCCAGAGTGAGTAACAGTAAACACACGTGATGTGCTGTGAAGGTCCTCAGGATCATCAGGTGTGTGTAAGCACAGGAGGACGAGGCAGGACTGGACACCCCTGCTCTACAACAATAGTAAAAAAAAAAATCATTAATTATAACAAACTAACATGCCATTTATGGTTTTGATTTATGCCATTTATTTTGAGTAATTTCTGATTATTAAATAAAGAACCAGATACCAGTTCATAAGGTACAGTCATTTCACACTGGGTGTTGTGCAACTGTAATAAAAACATGAAAGATGTGTGTCATTGTGTTTTTTGTTCATGGACTGTGACGTTCATAGTTTTATTCATAGATTCTGATTATAGGTCTGCAACCAATCAGAAAATCTGAAAGAAGCAAACTTTATATATATATATATATATATATATATATATATATATACATACAGTACTGTTTCCAGAGCATCTCATGTGTTGAAATGAGGCTGCAGAAGATGGAACAGGTGTTGTGTGTGTTATTCATCCGCCTATGTGGTCAATGTTTAGTTCTCAAGGCAGCAGACGTTGCCTTATTCTTTAAAAAATGTCAGCTTCGCAAATTGTAGTGTAGATATGAATCACAAGTTCCTTGTATAAAAGCCTTCTCGTCCAGAGAAGTGCTTCCTCTTCACTTTTCCGACACTAGATGGAGACAAACGTCCACAATATATGTACTCAAAAGTGCCATTATTTTGTCTCTGCGTCTAGACAACTAGCGTTAATAGCAGGTGAGTGACGTTGATAATATTCTATATATTTTTTTTATTGGCAGTATTGCTGCTCGAGGTGCTTCTTTTTATGTTTGTACCTCTTTAGGTTGTTAAACTAGAATATAGGCTCATCAGTACAAATTTGAAAAAGAAAAAAAAACATAGGCCTACCTAAGGCTTACTCATCAATAATGTTCACAATGAGTTTATACAGCGGTTACGTTTTACCCAGATCAAATATGTGACTACACATTCTGATGAGCCCAAACATTGTGACCACTTGTCCAATATGTTGTTGGTCCCCGACCCGCCGAGGCCTGTACTCCACAAAAACCCTGAAGGTGTCCTGTGGTCTCAGGGTGTAACACATTCATTCCTCCCATAACATCATTAAACTTGTGTGTGACTTGCACCACAGACAGTAGACCTTCTGTTGGCTCGGTTCGGACTGGATAACCATCACTACTCAACACACTATCTCTGGTATGTGTTTGATCCTCCTCGGACACTGTTGGTAAAGCCTCGCACTGCACAAGCCTTGAGTTTCAAAGATACTCTGAGCCAGTCGCTATAACAATCTGGACCTGGACAAAGTCGCTCGTCAGTTTGGTTCGTCAGTATATTGGATATTGAAGATGATTAGGTTTAAAATGAAATGTATTTAGGCTACTATGTGGTGTGAATCCATGTAAAGTTCTGTTAATCTGCTATAAAAGTACAATCATGGTTTCAAGTGTTTTAATTTTGTTAAAATTTAAACAGCATCAAGTCACTGCTTCACTTTTATCCGTCCATCAGATTATTTTGATAGTCACCGGCTGTGGCATTTCATACAGAAATACCTAAACCTGGAAACTGGAATTGCAGATATTTATAAAATTCAAGTGAGTACTTGTTATCTCTATACAGCTGAACAATGTAGACGGTATGAATCATTGCATACTTTTCTTTGGTTAAGAAATCACCATTCTGATACTACAAGTTTTAACTGTTGGCGAGTTTTTACATGTAATACAGTGATACACCTCTTGATTGGTTGATAGCCAACTTAAAGGAACGTTAAACTGATGCAAAGATTACCATTAGGTAAATGTGAAGGCCAAGAATAATAAACCGTACTGGTACTGGAGTATCCGTATGGAGTGGAAATGAACATGAATGCAGTGCTGTTTTCTGGAAAGAGGCTGGGAGAAGTGTCAGATATGTCTCTCAAGAGCCACAAGCATAGTTGATCAGCAGAAAACCATTGCGTTGGATGCTGGTTGATTCACCCACTTAATTACACTGTGTAATTACCATCGTGAGCTCAGAAGGCTTCAGCAGAGACAATTTGACCAGTTTTTGCATTGAAATTCATACAAAGTTGGTCTTTACTGCAGATTCATGTTGGTGCCTTCAGCAGTTGTCCAAGATCAATCTAAAAACTGTGGTAAGTCTTCTTCATATTAGCCCTAGATGTGAAGGAAAAGATAGAAGTAATTAAAGAACAGAAGAGGTTTCTCTGGTTGTGGTCTCTAGAGAAGGGATACACAACAGCAGACCAACAGATGTCTGTCACCAAAAGAGAAAGTACAACAGTAATGTCTATACTTGATGTAATTGTAGGCCAGAAGGACTCTTCACTGGTTCTCAGTGGGCAACCGCAGATAAAGCTCACACTGCACAGATGCTGCTGCTGCTGATGATGATGATGATGGTTTCGCCTGTTTAACCACTGTTATCACACAAACACACCCTCACGCAGGCTCATCCTTCAAGTGGATGAAGAGGAAATAACACTCACGCTTGCAGAATAAAGAAATACTGCTCTACTTCAGATGGAGGTAAACTGACTGACACTTTAGGTTTGAGGAGTAGAACCCACACAAAGGTATAGATATCTAGATATGTAGTTGAGTCATGAAACTCAGACTGATTGGTCCTTAAAGGTGCTCTAAGTGATGTCGGGTGACGTGACTTCAAGTATTTTCAAAAAAAATGGAGGCTAGATAGACCCTCCCTCTCCTCATCTGCACTGACCCCCCAAACCCCACCCCCAGGGCCTTCTTGTCAGTTATTGGCTGGAACAGTTTCTTATGTTCCGTGGAGCGGGTTGCCGCAGTTTGTTTTTATTGCCATTTGTGGTCGTGGAGCCTGGGTTGTCTGCATAAAAAGCGTTTTTTTTTTTTTGTTTACAGAGTGTTTAGGGGACAGGCAGCTAGCGGATAGTGAGGAGATGTTTGCTGTGACAAAAAATGTTTGGGCCTAAAAAACGTGTGACATCGCTTAGAGCACCTTTAATGTAGCTATCTGCTAGCTATCACATAATTCACTACATGGCACAAACTTATTGTTCTCTGTCACATTTGCATCCAATGAGCATTTAACTCTTTCCCCACCACTGACAACATTTTTCAGCTTTCTGTGTTTTCACTGTTATAGGGTAGGTGGCGCTATTACACAATTTCTGAAAGAGTACAGAATATCCAGAGAAAAACACAGGAAAAAAGGAGCAGAATCAAGCGATAAAAGCATTGATTATGAACGTTGTAGTCTTTGAAAATAGATTTTCCCAGCTTTTTGTTTAAAATTTAGCTTTTTGTTTCTGTAAACTTGCCCTCATTCAAGTCGTGATTAAAAAGATAAACCCGAATAAACTTCGGGTCCTTCTTTACCCGATCTCACGACCAAGTCGTACGAATTCGACGAATGATTAAAAAGTGGCTAATTTGTAACAATTCATACGACCTGACTCGTACGAATTAATACGATTTTGCTAAATCGTACATATTTTACGAATTGGCCAATTCGTATGAATTCGTACGAATGACCTACCCCTTACCCCGCCCCTAAACCTAACCATCACGTGGGTTTAAACAAATCGTACGGATTAGTATGAGTGAGGTCGTACGAATTAGTACGAATTAGACACTTTTTAATCATGCGTCGAATTCGTACGAATTGGTCGTGAGATAGTGTTGTATATTACATGTTCAGATTTTCATACAACAAAATAATCTAGGGACCATGAAGGTTTTGTGCAATTATCAAAAATACTGGCAGTGGTTGGCAAATTAAAAAAACAAACAAACAAACAAAAAAGAGAGTCGTTTATCAATGTCTTCAGCTGAAGTTTAAAGCTACAGGAGCTGAACTCTGCAGGACAGTTGTCCTTCAGTCCTGGTCCTGGACCGCCACTATCACGGATAGTTCAACCCGATCTCACGGGAATTCGTACGAATTTTACGAGGTGGCTAATTCGTAACAATTTGTACGACCTCACTCTTACGAATTAGTACGATTTAGCTAAATCGTACATATTTTACGAATTAGCCAATTCGTATGAATTCGTACGAATGACCCAGATAGCAAACTGACATTGAATCAACGTGGAAATATGACATCGAAACAACGTTGATCTGACATTGTTTTGCTCATCGAATTAACGTTGAACCAACGTCAGACGCGTCATTCTTTCAAAACTAACGGAAAATCAACTTAAAATCAACGCGTTGTTTCAACGTTATGAAAGCAAACCAATTTTCGATTTTATTTAGCTTTGAAGAATGCCGCGTCTGACGTTGGTTCAACGTTAATTCGATGAGCAAATCAACGTTGTTTCAATGTCATGAGAGACGTCGTTTCCACGTTGATTCAATGTCAGTTTGCTGTCTGGGGACCTACCCCTGACCCCGCCCCTAAACATAACCGTCACGTGGGTTTAGACAAATCGTACAAATTTGTACGAGTGAGGTCGTATGAATTAGTACGAATTAGCCACTTTTGAATCACTCGTACGAATTCGTACGAATTGGTCGTGAGATAGGGTAGGATAGTTCAGCTCCAATGTCCACTCATTGTAATCCTTGCAATTTATTAAAATTCTTCTTAATACAACCCCCCCCCCCCTGCAACTTCACACAGAGTACCTCAATTATCACTTTATTTCATGCTTGATCATACTTTAGAGAACTTGTTTTCAGATTCTACATTAGGAGTCTGAATCATCCAGGGAAAGTTCAGTCCACTCCACCTCCAAGGGAGTTTTTCCAGTAATTCAGCAACAGCTGTGTCGGTGGATCAGTGTCAAACAGTTTGATTGGCCTCTAGAGGGTTCCTCACTCACTCGCTCCGACGGAGAGCCCGGGACACCAGCCCTCGCTCCACCAGACACGCTCGATGACACTTCTGAAGGCAAGGGAATTTCTCTCTGTCATAAAACAAAGTTGCGCTTGTCCATGGAGCTTAGTGTGTGGAAAAGTTAAACCAGAGCATTTCCTAAGGATCAAGACATTTATAAAGTGCCATGTTCAGTGTTTGAGCCCCCAACATATTCAGGAAGGCTATTCCAGAGTACGGAAGTAAAACGTAAAAAAGCTTTACCTCCTTTCATGGACGTTGCTATAGGTACAATCAATAATTTTTTACCTTAAAACGGATTGTAGCATAGAAGATTGGTTAAATATAAATGAGCTTGGCCGTTTAGAGCTTTATGAAAAGTAGCAATTCTATGCTAAATTTGATGGTGATTTGGGGTGATTTATGATCATATTTTCTCACATTTTGAATTGTGAAGCTTTTTAATGGACAATGCAGGGCAACCAACTAGCACATTAAAATAATCCAGTCTTGAAGTCATGGTGTAACATCTCCTAATGGCAGCATGTACAGAGTGAACAGCAGCGGTCCTAGTACTGAGCCTTGTGGTATACTCCATACTGAACCTGTGATCGCAACACTATCTCACGACCAATTCGTACGAATTCGACGCATGATTAAAAAGTGTCTAATTCGTACTAATTCGTACGACCTCACTCGTACTAATTCGTACGATTTGTCTAAACCCACGTGATGGTTAGGTTTAGGGGCGGGGTAGGGGGTAGGTCATTCTTACGAATTCATACGAATTGGCCAATTCGTAAAATATGTACGATTTAGCAAAATCGTATTAATTTGTACGAGTGAGGCCGTATGAATTGTTACGAATTAGCCACTTTTTAATCATTCGTCGAATTCGTACGACTTGGTCGTGAGATCGGGTTGGTGATCGATAAGACATCTCTTCATTTACTGCTACAAACTGATAACGGTCAGATAAGTATGATTTAAACCATGCTAGTGCAATTCCAATAATGCCAACATAAAGTTTAGAAGCCTAAACTTAAAATAGTTTTTGTTCATTAATTTTGCTATCTTATGGTTTAATCGCAAACAGATTTTCATCTTTCAGGTTTTCTGTTAGAGAAATGATCTTTGCGACAGAAGGGAATCAATCAAAACTAACTTTAGCTGAAGAATAACTTAATTCTAGAGCTGCCGTAAAGCCAAAACAATCTCTGTTATTTTAATGTCCTATTATCACTGTAAAGCTGCTTTGAAACAGTCTATATTGTTAAAAGCGAATAATATAAATGAAGGTGACTTGACTTGACAGACCACAAGACATGCAAACATTATTATGCTAAAGAGTGGGTAACACTTTAGTTTAGTCCTTACTATAAACTAGTTGTTTATTAGCATGCATATTACTAGGATATTGGGTGTACTAATAAAGAACATATTAATGCCTTATTCAGCATGACTGTATTCTACATCCTTTAATCTACCCAATACCTACACTTAACAACTTATTAACTATTAATAAGCAGTAATTAGTTAAAAGTCATAGTCAATAGTTAGTTATTAGTGAGGATTGAACCCTAAACTAAAGCGTGACCAAAGTTTATTAATTCACAAGGGTAGAGACTGTGTCAATGGCTAGTGTAGTGAAGGAAAAAGTCAATTTTTAGTCTGTTTTCACTGCAAATTGATGTCTTGAGATGTCATGAGAAGTCATGGACGAAACCACCGGAGTCTTACGGATTGCTTGTGCGGAGCCGCAGAGATGTTGTTTGGGCTCTGGGATTGTCTGGGATGGCATGAAGGAGGGTCAATGATGAGAGAACTTTCATTTTTGGGAGAACAATTCCTTCAAATGAATGAAATCCTGACAGACTAGTTAGGCCAACAGGTTGAATGAAAAGCATTTCAATCATTTTAGATATCTGATTGCACATACCGGATGGTGTTCAAGAGTATCTATCTCGAAAGTTAAAACCTCGCTCTTTAGTGTAACAGGAACATTCCTGTGACTTTATCACCATCACCTGATGGGTTCGAGTCCCGGCTGAGCCATCAGTTGCAATATTTGAAAAATTTCCCCCAAAAAACGTTCTTAAAACATTAAAAAAAATGACTTTTTAACATTCTTAGTTCAAGTAACGTAACATTTGGGTGAAAATATAGTTAGTAGAATGTTTAAAGAAATGGTCTGGTAAGTAACCTTTAAGTATCATTCAAATAACCACAAGAACATTTTTGGAACATTTCAAAATACTGTTTCCTCACCGTTTATATAACCTTAATTTGTAAGCTGGGCAGTTATCTGAGCTCTATGTTGGCATTTTGCTTGGAAATATGGACATTTTAATCTTACTTGTGAGTGAAAACAGAAACATGAACAAACTTATTGAAAGTATTAAATGCATAAAGAGCATGATTTAAATCTAACTACAGTTCCTACCTTTAGATGCTGACTGAGCCCGAGCACATTAATGTAGTGCTGGCCATAGCAGTACGTCTCCGCCAGTGTTTCCCAGCTGTTCCTGGAGCCACCAACATGGCACATTTTATATGTCTCCCTTGTCTGACTCATATGCTTCTGGTCTTGGAGTCTCTGCTAGTGAGCTGATGAGTGGATTCAGGAATAGGAAGAGTTTGTGCACTGCTGGACTGTGTCTGAAACCGTCCTCATTCGCTGTTCCCTACATTACTCCACTGCATTTACATTTAATTTATTCATTTAGCTGACGCTTTTATCCAAAGCGACTTACAATTGCTATATATGTCAGAGGTTGCACGCCTCTGGAGCAACTCAGGGTTAAGTGTCTTGCTCAGGGACACATTGGTGTCTCACAGTGGATTCAAACCCGGGTCTCTCACACCAAAGGCATGTGTCTTATCCACTGCGCCATCACCACCCTAAAATAGTACAGAGTGAATGAAAACGAGTGAGTGAATTCATGAGTGCCGGACGTGCTGCTGCTTTTACATGGTTTGAGCTGTTTAATAATCATATGAAACTTAGCCCATTGGCAGCTCCAGTAGTAATGAAAAGATTTATCTTGTAACTCTGTCACGGAAACTAGCATTTATAAACCGTAATTAAACAATTAAAAAAGAGTTTGTATCTTATATGATATTACGCTGTACCCACATTGGACCAGCGGATTGAAAACCGGAAGGATGGATGATTCAGCTGCATGTGCGACTCTCACAGTGCATTGTGGGTATTCTCTAGCCGTTACATCAGTACACTCGTTATTGTGGTATTGAATGAGTGCACTAGATAATGTCCATTATGGCTTCAGACACCACGACAAATGTCTGTCCCCTCAAATAATGCCCTGTTTAAGGGTTTAGGGGAGATTTCAGACTCCAGGAACACGGTTGGGAAACACTATGATTTTGCTCCAGTTCCTAGTCTCCATATTACCAATAGGTGGCGTTGTCACCAAATCCAGTATGCTCAGGGTATTGTGACGGCATGTACCAAACTTTATGCCAATATGTCGAAACATTGCGAAGATTCCTGATTTTCCATCCTTACCGTAACACAAACAGTTTGGTACATCAGAATAACTTTAAATGAGTTAAAAGAAAACCCCTAAAATGATCACTAGCAGAACTGATACCCGCTCCAGTATAATCCAAACTTCATGGCGTTCGGCCATACATGAGCTATGAGAAGAGAAGACACCAGATACACCATGCAGAGGAACAGCTAATCAAATGTCTATAGGAGCAACATGACATCATGACTTTTGCGTAAACATACACGCCACTTTCGAGTCGTGTTCGTCGCGTGTTATCTCTACGCATTTTGAGCTATCCGCGTGTATCCGCGTGTATGTCTACGCCATTAACGTCCGCGTCATTCCGCGTGTCTGTACACGCAGTCAAATCTCCAGTAATAAATGCCATTAACCCCAGTGACGGTTAGGTTTAGGGACGGGGTTGAGGTTGAGGTAAGTCATATATTTATATAACGTTAAGTCAACGGCGTTCATAAGCACGCTGAAAGGCGATTATGCGTCTTGATAGCACGCCAAAAATGAAAATGCGAATTGGCGTGGCATACACACGCTACTTCATGAGATCAGTCTGTAATGAGTTAAGATTTCCATCAAATGCTAACAACTTTACTTGCTTTCAGCAGCTTACAGTTTGTTCGGAGAATAAGACATTGCAAAAATAAGGAGACGCAACACATAAAGCTATCATACATAGCGGCCAGACATTTTATAGAGTGTTTCACATAAGAGCAAATGAAACTGAACATCTTGGTGGTCATGTTTGACCGTGCTTGTTTTGCATGTGTTGTGCCAGGCATGCCTGTGTTTGTCCTCCTGCTCTCATGCAGCATTCAGAAACACTTTATTTGTCTCAGTGGAGAGCATCTGTTCTTCCTTTATCTTCATTGGCAATCAACCAACCAAGCCAAAATCTGCTATGCTGGAACACTGGTCGTTTAGAGATCACACGTCTAATTTCATCCAAAAAGTAAATGAACAGCCATTTCTAAAAACAAAAATATGTACGATGAAGATGGAACCTTTAAAGCCGCCATCTGTAACACATCCAACATCAAACCACTTGAAGCGGTGGGAATAAAGGCTTGCGTTAGAAGCAACAGAAAAAAAGGCTGTTTTCAAGTGTCCCAGAAGCAGTTCAGCTCATTTTTATTGTACAATCAGTTTCATGGATATTTGTCATGGTGAACATTTGTTGTTTTTTTTCTGAATGAGTTTGAATGACAGTATGTTGAATAACAGAGTCTAGGCCTAAATGGCAAAACAACACAAATATAGGAGAAAAAAAGGAGGAGAAAAAAAAAAACACACACTTGATGAACCCAAAGATTGCAAGTATCTCCTATTGTCAATGCTATTAAAATATAGACTTATAGATGCTAGATTCCATAAGGCCCAGATAATAAATAAATAAATAACAAATAAATAAAGAAAATAAATACAATAAAATGGGCCACATTTGATGGAAGCGAAAGCGTAGGGGAAAAGGCCTTCACACAAGCTGTATAGTGAGCTCTAGGTTAAAAGTGTTGTCTGTGTAACCAGGTCAGCAAGCTGGATAGAGTAGACTATTAGTGGCTATTTTCAGGAAAACCTTGTGAATACATAAGTTACTGTGTTAATCTGGTGACGCAAACATAACAAAATACTGTACAACAGGTGATTTGTTCTTTAAATGATCACACATATACACACAAACATGATGCGACGTAAAGGAACACTTTGAATATAATATAACGTTCTATAGGATAGCATTGGACAAATGTAAAAAAAGTGATCTGGACAATAACTAATCAAATAAAATATTGGAATAAAAATGTCGGTGTCAGTATCGTAAAAGTGGTGCTATAACTTTCCCACAATGCATTGTTAGAGAAGCCAATGAGCATGATGGACAAAGTGAGCCATATATCCAGTCGTGAATCAGTAATTGAATCTAAAGTCTCATAGAACTAAAGTATGCTATACAAGTCAACCGTAATGATTATGTTTGATTAATAGCCGATCGCACATGATTTTTTTTTTTTTTTTAGCATTTTTTTCTTCATTTTTTAGCTTTTGAATTGTCTTGTTTTTAGTTTGCAGCAGCCTCACATTGATATTTTAAATCAAAATGCAGAAATAAGTCTCAATGTAAATAAAACAAGTCGGGTTAAATGAAGTTTTCCAGCCCGCTCTGGACGTCTCTCTCGTCTGAAACAGTTCAATCATGGAGCTGAGGATCTGAATCACGTGTTAAATGAGAGAGACCAAGATCAGGACTGAGAAGACCATGATGCACTTTTACACACTTTAATCGGATAGCAAGAATTCAGACATGGAGTGCTGGTGGATTTTTTTTTTCTTCTTTTCTGTCAGTCACAGAGAATGTGTTTTGTTGCCCCCGAGTCGTGAATATATGGCCCAGTGTCATAATGCAGTTCTTCTTTTTCCCAACTGAAATTAAAAGGCACCGTTGATTATATTTTTTCTGCCATTGAAATACTGTGACCTCAGCTACATGTGAATGGCACTTTTTTTCCATGACACAAACACGTTGCACACATTATAAAAGTCTTTGTTTCACTAACATCACTAAAATAAAAGTTAAAGTTTTTCTTTTTGCAATACTTAATTATAGAAAATAAAGGTTTAGTGGTGATCTTCTTGTTCTTTGCATGCCTCACACGGCGATGAGGTCTTGTTTGGCCATGCGGGCTGTGAGTCTGCTCTGCAGGTCGTGTTTGGGCGAGAGGAGCAGCGCAGGGTTAGGATTAGTTCTGCTGCCCTCCAGCCCACCCAGAACCAGCCCGCCGGACACCAAAGGGTTCTGGGAGCCGAGAAACGGCGTGTCCTCGTCCTCGCTCTCGGAGCCGCTGCTCTCTGAGGGACTGCCGCTGAGTTCGGGCTCCGGCGCCGCCTGAGTCCTGTGGGACGGGGAGGATGGGGCACCTGTGCTTGTGAACCGCTGTGATGAGCTCTCCTGCTCCTCAGGGTGCACAGGACTGGGCAGATCCAGCCCGTGGTTATAATGGGCCGAGTGGCGAAGGTTCTGGCCTGTCTGGCTCTGGTGTGCGCTGGGTTTGTCCCGCAGGAACAGCAGGGGGCGCTCCTCCTCTCCCGAGGGACTGGACGGGACAGGGGTCGCCAGGCTGGAGAGAGGAGCCGACATCTCGGAGGGTGTCGCTGGAGAGAGGGGACCCACGGGGGACACATGGGCCGGGGAAGTTATAGCCGAAACGTACCTGTGGAGGACACACACACACACACGCTTTACAGCACAAATTTGGCTGAACCGGCCTCATTCTGAAGGCATGTGTCTACAACCCAACCTGGAGAGGGCAGTGTATCTCGGCGAGACAACGTCAAGGTAAGATTTGTTTTACAATGATTATACACCCCTATATCTTAATGATTTTCGTACAAGTTGTATTTAAGACTGCAAGACATACTTCGCCGTGAATATCTGCGTTGATGAGAACATGAAAGAATGTTGGTAGTAAAGCTAGGTCTAACGTTACGTTCGTTGCTAAGCAAAGACTATTAAAACATGGGATAATTACAGGAAAATATTTCAACGGGAAGAGAGCGGGAATTAAGTGTAAATAAGGGAGAATCACAGATCCTAGGCTAGACTCATCATCATCTAAAAAGAGTGCAAACCAAAACAAATAAATTATTTGGTAACACTTTACAATAAGGTTCATTAGGTAAGGGTTAATGCCCGACGAGGTGTCCATTGTCATGTTTTAATGGACGACGGCGAGGCGTGAACCGGCCGACGCGCAGCGGAGGACGGTTGCCTCCGCCGAAGTCCATTAAAACCTGACAATGGACACCTCGAAGGGCATTAACCCGCTTATACCATGGTCACTTGCCAAATAAAACATTTTTAAAACATTAGCTGCTAGTTTATATTTTAATTAGGCTAAATCAAGTTTTTACAAATAATAACTCGCCTAGTTTATTTAGCAACCGGAGATATTTATAGTCCGCTCAGCTTGTAGAGCCCTTCAGGTTCAAAAATGCATTTTTTGTTTTTCATGAAACACAAAGGTAGGCATAGTTATTATTATTATTTTTTTAATTACACATAAAACAATTAATCGAACAGGCTTCTTAGGCTTGAAACGCTGTACAGCCTGTACTCTCCTCCTGCCTTGATTGTCTGGACAGCTGCGTAAAACTCCCGCAGGGTCTCATTCAGACTGCAGCGGTGTAATTTTCTTTGCGACGTTTCTCCGTTTTATTTACATTTTTATTTCTTCAGCAGCATCCCAGTCGTCAAAGTTGTCATATTCTCCATAAATGTTAAAAGAAATAACGAAATCGCTCATTGTTGTATTAGTAGGCTATGTAATATCTAACCAACGTTAGATGTTTGTTTTGATAGAGCAAATTGTTAACGGATACTTTGACGTTTGACTGCCTGTTGCTATGGTTACTCACAGCTGTTGTAGGCAGCGCATTTATTTAGTCATTTCGAATGGTAAACAGGCAGTTTCACCAGAACTACTTTACTAGGTGTCCTCTATCACTTTTTAACGGACACCCTCCAGCCAATCAGAATCGAGTATTCACCCAGACCATGGTATAAGAACAAACAATGAACAGCTGGATTTGTATTAACTAACGTTAACAAAGATTAACAAAAACAGTAACAAATGTATTGCTCATGGTTAGATCATGTTAGTTAATACATTAATTAATGTTTAATAAATTAACCTTATTGTAAAGTGTTACCAATTATTTCAAATTAACTTTATAGTGGTAGTCATGGAGTTATACAAGCTAATTATGGTAGATTGTCACAGTTTATATAATGACACAATTCTGTGTGTGGTAGCTTATGCTTTTTCCCTCCCACACATGTCAGGGATTAGCATTGGGAGTGCGCCAGCTCTCAGACTCTCTGTGGTGCTGGGCCAGTGTCAGGTAATCTCCATCCATGCTGTACTGGTGAGGGAGTGTCAGGTTGTTGTTTTTGATATTGAGGCTAGCCCATCATAATCTGCTGTACAAGAGCAAGTTACAAGGAAGTATGAGTTTGTAAGGGCATTTTGTATCCAATGTGCATACAACAAATTGGAAACAATGTCTGTAGTACTTGTACGATACTTATACGTATACTTGACCTCAGTGAAAAAAAAAAAAAAAGGAAAAAAGCGGTGAGGTAAGAGATTGACTTAAAGGGCTAGTTCACCCAAAAATGAAAATTAAGTCATTAATTACTCACCCCCATGCTGTACCAACCTCGTAAGACCTTTGTTCATCTTCGGAACACAAATGAAGATATTTTTTTATTAAATTTGAGAGGTGTATCACTACCACATTGGCTGCCTAAGGGATTGAAACTTGACGGCCCAGAAAGTCATTGAAGAAAATGTTTAAAGGGGTAGTTCACTTTGAAATTAATTTTTTTATATGTTTTAGCTTACCTCAAGAGGAAAGATGTAGGTGTCTTTGTTTCCACATTATTTTCAATTTCAATCAGTCATACACTGGAGGGTGAGGGAGTCCACCAAAAAGCATGCACAGAGAAGTCAAAATTAAACATGATTTAATGACTCGTACATGTAAGTACACATTGATGGCCTAAGACACGAAACGAGCGGTATGTGTGAGAAAACGAACAGTATTTATATCGTTTTTACCTCTTGTAATCATAGCCATGACAAAATGATCTGACGACACGAGCGCTTCGGTCTGCTAATGTGCCGGAAGTGATCGCTTGCGTGTGACGTCACTCTTTGTTTATACAGAGATTTCGGAAGTTTTACCTTTCACTAAACATATTTAGATATACGTGAAACCGCAATGGAAGACGATTTCGGTATATCTAAATATGTTTAGTAAAAGGTAAAACTTCAGAAATCTCCGTGTAAATATTGAGTGACGTCACACGCAAGCGATCACTTCCGGCGTAACATTGAACTGATTCAGTTCGGTTCAGTTGGACATTGCACAACTGATTCAGATCACTTGGATTACACGAGGTAAAAACGATATAAATACTGTTCCGTTTTCTCACAAAAACCGTTCGTTTCGTGTCTTAGGCCATCAATGTGTACTTACATTTACGAGTCATTAAATTATGTTTCATTTTGACTTCTCTGTGCATGCTTTTTGGTGGACCCCCTTAGCCTCCAGTGTATGACTGACAGACAACAACGGTTTGACTGAAAAATGTCAAAATTGAAAATACTTTGGAAACAAAGACACCTACATCTTGGATGCCCTTGAGGTAAGCTAAAACATATCAAAAATTAATTTCAAAGTGAACTATCCCTTTAAATATTCCATGTGACTACAGTGGCTCAACTAGAAGTTTATCAAGCGACGAGAATACTTTTTGTGCGAAAAAAACAAACAAAAATAACGACTTTATTCGACTATTCCTTTTCTTCCTTGTAGGCCTGAGACGAGAGTTCAAGAGATTTCCACGATGCACGCGCGAGAACTGAGTTATTTTCCTACTACTTCTTGTTCAGTTCTCGCGGATGTGTCGTGGAAATCTCTTGAACTCTTGTCTCAGGCCTACAAGGAAGAAAAGGAATAGTCGAATAAAGTTGTTATTTTTGTTGTTGTTTTTTCAAACAAAAAGTATTCTCGTCGCTTGATAAACTTATACTTGAGCCACTGTTGTCACATGGAATATTTAAACATTTTCTTCGATGACTTTCTGGGTCGTCAAGTTTCAATCCCTTAGGAGCCTATGTGGTAGTTATACAGCTCTCAAATTTAATCAAAAATATCCTCATTTGTGTTCCGAAGATGAACGAAGGTCTTACGGGGTTGGTACAGCATGGAGGTGAGTAATTAATGACTTCATTTTAATTTTTGGGTGAACTAACCCTTTAAAGCGACTCACCCTCGAGTTGTTCCAAACCTGTGTGAGTTTCTGTCTTCTGATGAACACAAACTCATACAGGCTTTTCGGGTGAACTTTCCCTTCAAGGTCTGGGTATACTTAGTTTATCATGTTCTGCTCCGTTTTGTGCACAGTTAAGAGCACAGGCCTTTTGAAGTAAGCCTAGGTGACTGTGAGCATGGATGGACGCTCCACAAGTTCATATGGACAAAAGCAACAACTACCAAAAACAGGCAGCAGTCAGACAATGCCCAGTCACAAGTGGACTTGGTGACAAACATTCGGTCACGTGCACTGTCCGTGAGACAAACACAAACATGTGTAAGTGGGGGAGGGAAGATGTGAAGTGTGCACAGGAAGAGGGAGAAACAAACTCCTACAAAATATAAAATATCTAAAGATAAAACAAAAATTACTTAATGTTATTAATAAACGGTTAGCAGGAGCGGTGACAAATGCAACAAACAAAGGTCTGAAGTTCTGTGTGTTTGGGAGGATTGTATAAAAGCCAGACCGAATCTGCTCACACCTCTACCTGCAGGCATTTACAGGCAGAAGCAGGAGAAAATATCATATAAAACGCGAGTGGGAGAGAATTAAAAATTTCATTGCATTTTTGTAGCGCGTTTGTTTTGGTGAGGTCATGTCTTTATCTTACAATCTTCACAGTCATGGGGGTTTATAGTGGCGCACAGGGACCCGTCAATTCATTTTCTCCCAAATGTGAATTCTCCAGCCTGGCGTGCAAAGCTCTACTAAGGGCTGAAGGGGTTCAGTACACGCAGCCAACGCTACCTCTCGCTGTAGGGGGAGTCTCTGCAGGAGCCCGGGGCGTCTCCGCAGCTCTTCAGGTGATCGTTGAGCTGGTGCACGCCTCCGGTGGCGTTCAGACGCCCTCTGGGACCGGGCGTCCCATGCCGGCTGTTCTCCTGCGAGGACTTCACCAGGACTGCATGAACATCAGAAGCGACACTGTCTGCTTTCCCATTACTCCAGCTGCTAGAGACCAAGGCAAACACGCTCATCATACACATCATCTACACACGTCTTGTGATAAATCATGTCCTGCCATACCATAACAAAACATTAATGAAACAAAAATGTTCAAACCAGTTCTGTGATGCTTGAAAATCGAACAATGACAGAGGTAGAATTTGTACTTATGAGGGAATGAATGAACTTTCTCATTCCATAAAGCAATATCGTTACAGTTATATCGTATAATAAAGTTATATCATTATCACTTTTTAACCTGCTTGGTAACAGTTTCTCTGGATCTCACTGCAGGGTTATGGGTAGTGTGGTACTTGAACAGAAAGTCCCTTTTTTTAACTTGTGACTTACTGTAGATGTCAACAAGCTCAGGAGATAATGGATGGTCTGTGAAATCCTAAATCAATGGGGCTTTTATGTCAGGAAGATTTGCTGTTGCACTCTGTAGAGGCTTAAAATACACTCTAATATGACTATCAGTTATCAGTACAACTATAATATCTGATATGTAACATGTACTGAGAAAAGTGCAATACAAATAAATATGACTTGATTTGACTTGATGTGTGATTGATTTGACACTGATGTGTGTGTGGGACTTTACCTCAGGCTAGAGGAGCGAGTGACGGCGCTGGACACATGTGTTGGTGATGGGAACTCTGTGGTGGACAGAGATATTTCCGCTTTTCTGTCGGTCACATGAACGTGAGGGACAGGATTTTGCGGCATGTAATGCTGAAATCAGACAAAAGATGATTGGTCTATCACTGTTTCTCTTGTGGTGTATGATACTGTACACTCGATCAACTTTAACTGTTTAAACACATATTAAAAACCCCATTTACAGATAAATTAGCTTTTAGTCGATTGGTACAATACTTGTTGACCACTAATCTTAAAATCCTCTCAACGTGATTACGTGATGTGTGACGCATCACAGCTTCTACAACACCAGCATTTGTGGTTAAAAGTATATAAATGTGTGTTTTTTTTTTTTAAATGGACGATGGTTTCACTAGATAAGACTCTTATTCCTCGGCTAGGATCCTATCGAGACTTTGAAGCTGCACTAAAACCATTGGACCCCATTGAAGTCACTATATGGAGAAAAACCTTGGAGTGTTTTCCTTCATTTCTCTTCGACTGAAGAAAGAAAGACATGAATGTCATCTTGATGATTACATGGGGGAGAGTAAATTATCAGGAAATTTTAATTCTGAAGTGAACTACTCCTTTAATACTGACGCCATTAACATAAATGGCACCATTTTCTGAAAATGATGAATGATCTAAAAAAAACCCCTAAAAAGGGTCGCTGTGTTTTTATCCAATGGTTCAAACTGCAGTGGACAGGATTTTAACATTATTACATTTCATGATGTAGACACAGTGAGCACACTCACATTGACCAGCTGCAGGTTTTCGGGTGGAGGCTGGGGTGGCTGGGCGCCTTTGGCCGCAGCGTTTCGCTCTCGTAAACTTTGCCGCAGACGGTCATGCAGCTTTTTCCTCTGTTTCCTACACGCGCGAAAAAATAAAAAAGGGAAAAGAACAGCTCTTAGACATTAGGAGATCAGATATCAATGACTATCAATAATTAATATGGCTCATTTTAGTTTTTGAGTAAAACATTAGTACAAACTAACTGTACAAAGTAACTTAGTACAAACAAACATTTCAAAAAGTTGTTGAATTACTTTGTTTTGCAGTAAGCCACCACACACATGATGCCAACAACTAGAAGAGCGATGCAGATGCCTGTTATAGTCAAAACGCGTTTCTGATAGAGCTCCTCAGCTTCTGGAAGAGAGGACAGACTGCTTTTCAAGCTTAAACACACACACACACACACACATTACATCTCAGTCATATTCTTACTTGGAGTAATATTTTATTATAACAATGTTATTTCAACAGATTTCCAAGTAAGAACATAAGCTGGCACACATGTATGTTTCCAGTGGCGCTGATGCTTTAATTAGACAGGCTTGATTGGTCTCAGGATGTAGTTTTGCTGAGGGGAGGGACAACAGGACAAGCTAATTCAAGGTCAGCTCAGAAAATCATCATGTCGTCACAAATGACATGAAATGCAAACCCGGCCAGGCTGAGGCCTCGGGGATGCCTGCAACACTCAACACTCATGCATTTCACTCATCTTACTATGAGGTTTAGATCACAACAGTGACAGACTAAATTTATTGAAGCCTTCAGTAACTTTTTGTATGTATAATTTTGCCAATGGTCAATAGATATGGAATGCTAAAGGCTTTAATAAACAGTCATGAACTAGTAGCAGCACAAACTCACAGGCTGCTAACACAAGCTGGGAAATGTGTTTGTTATTTCATGCCAAAGACCCCATGAAATGTTTGACGAGCATATTTTTCGCAATTTGATGGACGCTTGAGTGGGATATAGAAAAAGGCTCCTCCCTTTTGGTAAAAATGGCCTTTAGTTTACATGAAACATGACATGAAAAACTGACATTTCATGTAATTTTACAGTAAAATACTGCCATTTTTGTCTCATCAGTTATGAACATTAGGGTTTTATGTTATGTTATGTCGTTAAATGTTTATTGCATCCAGTGTTGGGGAGTAGTTAACTACAAGTAGTAACTTAACTACATTTTTCAGTAGCTTGGCAGTAGCTTTTTAAACAGTGTAGCTTTTCCAGTAGGTAACTACTTTTTGCAGCAAGTAGCAGCGTAGCGCGAGCAAAAGCTACATTGCGTTTGTCGAGCCTGCGCGAATCAGCACGTTCACATTCTTCATTGTTAGATTACAAACTAATTTTTTTTTTTTTTGCCATTACCGCCACCTGTTGTTTAATCACGCATCTTGCGGCTAACGGTTCACTGACGTGCAGAAGTGGGTTGACACACCCATATTATGATTATCCATGATGGAGTAAAGGCCTCATTATGCTTCTGCGTCAACTCCACGGCGTAGCTACGTCGTCACGACTACGGCGTCGTGGCCGTTTTATACCTCTGCGTGAGGTTGTGGTGCTTCGCGGTGCATTTCGCCGCCAGAACGCTAGGGGGGTTCGCGAATCTCTTTGGTTCCGTGCGCCGCGAGCGAAAGAGAGATAATGTTGTTGCAGCTGCCAGCTGGAGCTAATCGACGTTGAATAACAAGACGACACAAAACTTTATCCCCACAGAATCAACACGGATGTCCAGGGCCCGTTCCACCCATAGACAATAAAATAAAGGTTCCACCCGAGCTGCCATAACGATACCTGTTCGGAATGACTTGAAGGATTTCAAGTCAAGAAGGATTTTCAGACTTGGGTAGTACTGTATTATCAATGATGTAACCGTGAACATTGTATTGAAAATAGACAACAAACTGTGTTTCAAAACAAACGTTGATTTATTGATTGATTGAAGTTTATTGCGAGAAAGAAAGAAAAGAATATAGACATATATATTAACAATGAAATAAAAAAAACAGTTTATTTTTAGTTTAATTCTTTATTTAACGTTACTTTCTTTAAGAGTGTTATAATTAAAAGAACGAGGGTGCAAATGTTAAAAATAGCGCTATAACAGGAGGGGGAAATCGGAAAAGCTACACTCCTGAAATTATGTTTAATCTGACCAATCAAAGCCCTTGCTGTCTGCGTCGCCTCGACGGGTAGTTACAAATTTTTGGAGGTGCACGTCGAGCTACGGCGGAGGGGTCGGAGAGGGCTTCGCGTCGACGGATAGGTGTCTGCGGGGGTACGCCGTCGATTCGACGCAGAAGCATAAAACAGGCTTAAGATGTAACGGCAGATTTGGAGGATGGAGAAACAACTAACGTTAATATACCCATGGCCTTATTTGTCCAAGTTCAATCAGTATTTTTGAGAAAATGTTCTACATGCAATTTACGTTGGATGCATATTTTGTTCTTGCAATGTTGTAGGCTATATGTTGCAATTTTGCATTTTTGACAAAGATATTTAAGTGTTGTGTGTAATAAAACAATACTCTTTGAAATCATAATTGTATTGCATTGTTTTAAACACTAAATATTAAAAACATTCCTCAGACACTTATTCAGTTATTTATAATATACATTGTTCAAAAAGCAAAAGTAGTTTCAATGTAGCTATTTTTTTTATATTAACTTGTAGTGTAGCTAACTACTTTTCCAAAAGGTAGCTTGACTGCAGTTTAACTGCTTTAACTTACGGGTAGCTTGTAGCTTGTCAAACTACAGTTTCAGAGTAGCTTCCCCAACACTGATTGCATCATTGTAGTGTCATGATGGTGTTGTATTTATATGTATGACTTTATGACTGGATAGCTACTGTGTGTATAATCTTGTAGCTTTCTCCTTACCAGCTCTTTACCAGTTTAGTTATAGTGTTATTAGGGCAGGGGTGTCCAATCCTGATCCTGGAGGGCCACTTTGGCACCAACCCCAATTAAACACAGCTAATCAATTTTGACCGGACACAAAACTGTACACGCCCCTGAGTGCACGATGATGTCATCAACATTTTATCTGCTTTCAAATGTTCCATTTCTTCATGGGGTCTTAAAGGCACAGAATACTGTAGGTTCCCGTCACAACAAAGCGTATGGAAGCCTGTGAGCAAACGCTACCACTCGTTTGATTTAGAAACTTCTATCTTGAATTATTGTTTTTAGAGTATAGCAAACACATTCTTGATGCACACAACACAACGGCAATCACTATGTACAGACATTGATAAAACACTGATGAGAAGTAGAAAAGGGGGAGAAAACAAAGAAGAAAGTGAGGAATGAGATGTCATGCTGAAGATAGAGGGATGCATGAATGGAGGGCAAAGCAAAGCTGAAGGGATCTAAACACAGCATAACTACTGCAGTACGGCTTCTCTTGTGCACCGCTGAACTGTGTGTGAAATTTAGCTGTCTCACTCTCTCTCTGTGTGTGTGTGTGTGTGTGTGTGTGTGTGTGCGTAAGAGAGAGCTTTACATATCTGCCTTGAATGGAAGATATCAGAGGTCTTGATGAATTATTAACAACATCCTTCCTAGCATGCAGGCTAATGCCCCCGCGCACGTCACATGCTTCGGAGCGGATATCCACTTTCTTGTCTAAGACCCTAGAAACCTGCAGAGTGGCTCTAAGCAAATGAATATAATAAAGAATAATGGTGTCAATCTCCAATCATCTGTTATGGCTGTTTGATCCCTTCATGAGCAAAAGGAAACCAGCTGAAGTTGAAGGAAACAGGCTCAAGCTTCTAGACCTACGAATCTGCAAACTAGGAGGAAAGAACGATTCATACCCATAAATTCAATCCCAAGATGTTCTGCCAAGGCAGACAAGGTGTTGAAAAGAAAGCAAAACACAAACAAACAAAAAACAGTTGAGCGGTGATGTCAACTCTGACTGACTGCACACAAACAGCTCAAACCACCTCCAAAAACACCTGCAGTCTTCTCAGCATGTATATATATATATATATATTGCATGGTACATTACACACATACACAGATACATATTTGAAAGCAGAAATGATTCAAACCTATTCTGTTTGACTTTAAACCCACCATGACAATGCATCAATTAATGCTTTTAGAGAGATATATGGATGGTTTATCACACGTATATAGTGATGTACATCTCTATATACAGACACTTATGGTTGGTCATCATTATGACACAAGGACATGCACATGCAGACGTCACTGCGCTCACGCCATTATATACACTGACCCTCCACACATATCACTACAGACAGTCAGATTCGGTTAATTCATGTGATTACACCAGCACTTGTTAAACATGCTGTTAAACACATGCATCTCTCGGTCACCTAAACTATCTGACTGATGTCAGAAGCTGTGGCTTGTTGGACTGATACCTGAGCCCATTATAGTTTGAAAGATTAACCCTGGCAGAATGTGATCTCATACTCCTCTATACATTAAGAACAGGTTTGCAGAAATATAATCCTGTTATTTCAGAATGCATAAAATGGCACTAAAACTAGTGTCATTACAAGGTTAAATCGCCAATTAAAATAATATCAATTGTTTGACTGTAATGCTGGCATAATAATGATGACGTGTTGTTAGGGGCCCAATGATTTTGCTCATTAACTGATAGCCGAAGGACACATTAGCAAAGATTATTAATAGCTGAGAATTGATTGTCATTGCAGATTTCCAGTAATAGCTATTTTAGCACTTTAGGTAATCGATGGAGATTTTCTGTCTGCTCACTGTCCTATTTGAAATGCAGAAATGATAATGAATATCACCCAAACGTATAATATAGATGTCCAGTTCAATATAATAGACGGATCTCTCTTTTGAGCAAGGATCTCTCTGTGATCATTGATGGCTCTCAGCTCTTATTACATGGCTCTGTGTGTCTTAAAGGGATAGTTCGCCCAAAAATGAAAATCACACCATGCTTTACTCACCCTCAAACCATCCTAGGTGTATATGACTTTCGTTTTTTAGACAAACAAAATCAGAATTATATTACAAATATCCTGGCTCTTCCCAGCTTTATAATGGCAGTAAATGGAGGACGAGATTTTGAAGGGTAGAATATGGATATTTTTCTTACAAAAACCCATGGCTTTGCTTCAGAAGGGCTTTTTTTTAACTCTCTGGAGCCATATGTACTACTTTTATGATGGATGGATGCACTTTTTTGGCCTTCAAAATCAGGACCACCATTCACTACCATTATTAAGCTGGAAAGAGCAATGATACAGTATCTTTTAATATAACTCCGTAACTCAGTTTAAAATAACTCCAGTAAATCATGGGATAATTCTCATTTTTGGGTGAACTGTTAATGTTAATTAAGGGAATTGTGTTTATATCTGTGGTACTGTACAATAAGTCGCGTCAATAGTTTTAAGAAGAGTCATTCTCAGAAAAGATTCTCATGGCGTTAAAAAAAATACTACTGTCAGGATTTGTTAAGATGAAAAAGAAATGAAAAGGTCTGGTCAATTATTTTTGCAGCTGATTGCATATGAATTTGTGGGAGATTCCTTTCAGATGCAATATTAATGGGAGGAGAGTATCTAAATTAATCATGCACCATGATTTACCAATGTTTGCTGTAGTCAATGTACTGGTATTTGTGCCATTATTTAACACCCAAAAAAGCATGTCTAAAGCCAGTTTGCACCTGTGTTACCATCAGCCTGACTGGTATCTGAAGCATGTCTGATAAACGCCAATTAATTGTATACTGTATATACTGTATATTATATATATATATATATTATTATAAAGTTGATTTGAAAAAAGAAAATATGTTGTGATAACAAATCTTCAAAGCAACCACTGCCAAATCGGCACAGAAATGGAGCAAGTTTTGGTTAACAGGAAAGCAGAAAACTAAAACCACTCTCTCTATTGTTTGTTTAATATTGTGCGCTAAACAGTAAGCCCTTAATGGCTTTTGCATGCCAGCACGTTTTCCAGCTAAAATAGTTCGGATTATGTGTTAGGATGGGCACATGTCTGAGAACATCCTTCACATGCCCCCAAGGTGAGAATGGCATTGATCGGTGGTTGTGGAAAGAGGTTTATTGTCTCTGGGAACTCTCTGGCTCCACTCTTGAGGTATCTTTTTCCACGGTCAGCTATATTTTCCCCCTATGTCTAAAGTAGAATTGTATGCTTGGCTATGTTGTATTGTTTGTTAGATACCCCTGTAGGGCTGATGCAGGGTGAATGGAGTAAGGGCAGTGTAGATTCCCTATACCTTGTTTATCTCGCTCCCCAAACTGTTGTGTCTTGAAGTAGGGATGTATGCTCCAGGGTTGTGTACTCGAGACTTGGACTCGGTCTCGACTTGGTCTCGAGACCATATTTTAATGGTCTCGGTCTTGTCATGGACTCGTGTGCATTTAGACACGGAATTGAGTCGTACTCGAACATATTAGGACTCTGACTTATTCCCGAGTCCACTCGAGTCCCATTCAAAATATGTCATGATTATTACTGTATGTTAATATTTCTTTAAATTGTTGTTTGGTTAAAACTCGGACTCGACCCTCTATGGTCTCGACTCGGACTCGAATGTCTTTGGTCTCGGTCTCGACTCGGACTTGACTCTCTTTGGTCTCGGACTCGACCCTCGTAGGTCTCGGTCTCGACTCGGACTCGAATGTCTTTGGTCTCGGTCTCGACTCGGACTTGACTCTCTTTGGTCTCAGACACGATCCTCTTAGGTCTCGGTCTCGACTCGGACTCGAATGTCTTTGGTCTCGGTCTCGACTCGGACTTGACTCTCTTTGGTCTCAGACTCGACCCTCTTAGGTCTTGGTCTCGACTCGGACTCGAATGTCTTTGGTCTCGGTCTCGACTCGGACTTGACTCTCTTTGGTGTCAGACTCGACCCTCTTAGGTCTCGGTCTCGACTAGGACTCGAATGTCTTTGGTCTCGGTCTCGACTCGGAATTGACTCTCTTTGGTCTCAGACACGACCCTCTTAGGTCTCGGTCTCGACTCGGACTCGAATGTCTTTGGTCTCGGTCTCGACTCGGACTTGACTCTCTTTGGTCTCAGACTCGACCCTCTTAGGTCTCGGTCTCGACTCGGACTCGGCCCTCTAGGGTCTCGGTCTCGACTCAGACTCAAGTGAGCTGGTCTCGACTACAACACTCCTCTTGGGATGGGTGATTTATAGGCCTCTCTAATAAGACCCATGTTCAAGAATACGACAGGTAGAGGTAAACTGCCTGTGAGCGTCCCTCCTGATTATCTATTGCATGCTATAGTTAGCAATAGAGTAAAGCGCTATCTATAGTGTGTCCTGGAGAATACGTATATTTTATTGAGGGTTGATTTGCTCTCCACCAGTGTACTGGGGTATGTTATGCATAAGCTTCTCTGCGTCCTTCTTGGGGTTGGCTTATGCTGGATGATAATTATTGGCAAACTAAAGAAAAAGCAGACTGCCTTTCTCTTGACAGAGGCATTTCTCCCTTTTGGGATACTAGGTGATGGGAGTTATGTAAGGCCGTATACATTTTCTCTATTTCATTTACCTCCCTCCCCAAACTGCTGTCAGGTTTTCAAGTTGGGTTTTCTCCCTTTGGATAGGTGCTCTACTGTGGCCTGGTTTGACAATCCTAACATGTAGAGGAAGGTCGTCTATGGGCTTCCCTCAGATTATCTGTCACATACTATGGTCTAGTGCTAAAAGGAAAAGACGAAGCACTAGTTATAACGGATCTTAGGTAGAGTGCCTTTACTCAAGGTTTACTTAATACTTCGAAAAGCAACGTCTCAGGTTACGTCTGTAATCCAGGTTTTTCTGAGAAGAGGAACGAGACACTGCGCTTCATTGCCATGTCTTGGGCCTGCCTCAGACAAAAGAGTTTATGATGTGTATTACAGGCACTTGTGACTTCACAGACTGTGGTCAGCCACACATGCTCCCCATAGCGTCATTTCAAGACGCAGTGTCTTGTTCCCCTTCTCAGGGAACCAGGATTAGAGTCGTAACCTGAGACATTTTATTAATGTTAGCACTTGCCAAGGCAACATTTCTAATTTTCTTTCTATTTTTTTTTATCTAATATTCATATTTTATTTTAGCTTTATTTTAATTAGAAAAAACGATTTTTAATAGTTTTAGTTAACAATAGCAACACTGAGAATGACACTTATAACAGTTTCTTGAGAGGTTTACAGGACTTGGTTATACATGAAGACTAGCTCACAAAACATGTTGATGAGCTGAGAGCAAAGTCAGTTTATAACCTTTTGAGTGCAATGTTGTCTGCAGACAGAGCTTGATACACTCATCTCATCTGTTCCCGAAAAAGTAAAAAATTATGTGAATGAGGACAAACCGGATCTCCCCTAATAACTAACATGTGTCCAGACTGATGAATGTCAACCCTGTCTAACTATTGTCAGCTAACTAACATCCAACATAACAAAACTAGATTAATAAATGCTAAACATGCAAAGAGAAGAAATGGAAAACATAAAAAAGATCTGATCTGATCTGACTACCCGTTGGTCAAGAACATAAAACCAAAGCAACAGGAGGTAGCGCTGATTGAGCATGCTCCAATCCAAGCACAGACAGGAAGAGGAAATAGACGTACTGTAGAAGCTGGCCATTACGTAGCTTTGGCAGCGATCACCAGTAAACTCATTGGGGCACCTGAGAGGGAAAGACAGAAGTCACAGAGAGAAAGAGAGGAAGACAGGAAGTGAGTTTGACACCCAAAAGTCCCCCTCACACACGCGTGTCTCCGGTGTTGCTCGCTGAATGTCTCGCAAACGTCCGCCTGGGTTCCAAGAGCCAATTAACAGTTTAGACATGACTAGTCTCTGAAGAGTGGGGAGTATCTCTGGGGTAAATGTTGGCAGCCCATCGTGCACCTGTCCACATCTGACGCCGGGACAGATGGGCGGTCTGGCGAACCCTGACAGAAAGAGTGCTTTCTAAATGGCGGAGGTGGCGAGGCAGCGCAGAAACAGCGGCGATGGAGTGTGTTTGGGGTGAAGGGGGCATTCACAGACTGCACATACGTTTGGGGTCTACGACTCTCACAGGGTCTCTGGTATGACAGCGGTTCCCTGTGAATCCTGGAAGGCACCTAGGTTAGAAAGAGGATGAACACAGCACAACACATCACAACACAACATTACACTACAACACTAGACAAACACACACGGGTCAAGGACAGGGAATGTTCTCTGCTCTTCACAAACATGAGCTTCCCCTCCGGATTCACTTCTGCTGTCACGTCATCATATCACTTATTTTTTGGTGATAAAAAAAAGTCCAGGGTTGAGATTGTTCCAGTCTTGATCTTTCAGCTGACCAACTGGTCTCTGATGACATTTAGAGCACTCAAACCCTTGCCACACACCCACACACAGCTGTGGAGCTCCAGCTGTTCTTCTGGAAGGGAAGTCTTTCTCAACAGACCCTGATTTACTTCAAGTGAAATCTGGAAAAAAATGTGGTGTGATATTTTAAACTTTCCGGCTAGTAAAAATCTTGCCATTGGTCCATGGCGATGATGCGATGGGTAGGCGTGCCTCTGAGGCTCCGCCTTCTTTGGTGTGGAAATCTTCTCCGGTTTATGTCTTCCGTTCAGTCCAACAATGGAAAGCGACATTGTATTTTGCTAGGATGCTAGGTGATGGGAGTTATGTGAGGCCGTTTAAATTTTCTCTACTTCATTTACCTCCCTTCCCAAACTGCTGTTGGGTTTTCAAGTTGGGATGCCGCTCCCTTTTGATGGGTGCTCTACTGTGGCCTGGTTTGACAATGCTAACAAGCAGAGGAAGGTCATCTATGGGGCTTCCCTCAGATTATCTGTCACATACTATGGTCTAGTGCTAAAAGGAAAAGACGAAGCACTAGCTATACTTTTAGTGTGTGTGTTTGGATTTTTAGTGAAAATCTTGCCATTGGTCCATGGTGGGTTGGCGTGGCTCTGAGGCTCCGCTTTCTTTGGGGTGGAAATCTTCTCCGGTTTATGTCTTCCGTTCAGTCCATCAAATTAAAGGGTTAGTTCACCCAAAAATGAAAATTCTGTCAGTATTTACTCATCCTCATGTTGTTCCAACCCCGTAAGACCTTCGTTCATCTTCGGAACACAAATTAAGATATTTAAGATATTAAGATCGCTCCTGCATACTAGTCCATAGGCTTCTTGAGGGAATGACAATTGATGGCCTCGAAAAGTGATTAAAGACATCGTTAAAATAGTCCAAGTGACTACAGTGGCTCAATCTTAAGTTTATCAAACGACAAGAACACTTTTTGTGCGCAAAAACAAACAAAAATAACGACTTTATTTCAAATATTTACTTCCTTCTCCATGGGCCTGTAGTCAGTTAACGTAGTGTGATAGCGTAGAGCTACGTCACACGTAGGCTCACTATTGGCCGACGCTGGTCATGTGTGTTATGCGTGTGACGTACAATAACAGAAGTTTACGCTATTAAACTAGTAACCTGACTCGAGGCAGAGAGAGAAATAAACTAATAAATGAAATAAAGTCGTTATTTTTGTTGTTTTTTGCGCACAAAAAGTGTTCTTGTCGTTTGATAAAGTTAAGATTGAGCCACTGTAGTCACTTGGACTATTTTAACGATGTCTTTAATGACTTTTCGAGGCCATCAATTGTCATTCCCTCAAGAAGCCTATGGACTAGTATGCAGGAGCGATCTTAATATCTTAAATATCTTAATTTGTGTTCCGAAGATGAACGAAGGTCTTACGGGGTTGGAACAACATGAGGATGAGTAAATACTGACAGAATTTTCATTTTTGGGTGAACTAACCCTTTAAGACATTGAACAATGGAAAGCGACATTGTATTTTGTAATGATAAAGCCGCTGCTTTAAAGAAATATACTGTATAAAAAGCAGTATAAATAAACAAGACTTGATGTGACTGGAGTGCTGAATTGCAGAGCTGGTGCAAACATATCCACATCACTATTTTCAGATGCTTTCTGAACTGCTGTTTGTTATTGAGTGGAAAGCGTGCAGCACATATTCATTCAAGCGTCGCTCTCAGCAGCGTGGGCAACATTGGGATGTTTACTGAGAGTATACCTAAACCAATCTCACGGGAAATCAGAACCATTCTATGAGGTGGCTATTTTTTATGAAGTCATATGATGTGAAAAAGGGAGTATGTAGGGCTGTCGCGGTTATGGAATTTCCCTTGCGGTAATGTTGAGTGGCTCAATAGCGCGATATGCGGTATTACCGCCATTTATTTATTTATTTATTTATTTATTTATTTCATTTTTATTTTTTTGTTGCTATATAAATAATGTTTACGATGTGGACAAAAACGAGGACATTTTCAGTAACCAATGTAACCGAAACTAAATAGCGTCTACACAGTATGCGCATTGAAAGACTTTCACTCAGCGCGCATATTGTTATGACAACGGACTTTGAGCGAATCATTGAACCGTTCATTCAACGAACACGTTTAAAAAAGCTGATTCAACAAGATGTTAATTATTTTTAACTTTGAGACTCAACTTTTCAAGGCTCAGCTGAGCAGCAATGCGTCGCATAGGCAACGCTGAAGCTGATGCTTCACTTATTAGAGACCAATTGATTCAATGCGTGACTCACTGATTTTATTTCGGCTTCCTTGTGTTGTGGGATGCTGACCAGTGCTGCTGCTGACGCGCATTTATGGGAAAATACCCGTGAAGAGAACGTTAAAATGATGATGCGACAAATTTTTCGCTTCCCTTTGACACGACTTTTCACGACTTCAAAGACAGACGCAGGTAATTGCACGCGCTCTGCCGATCTCTCTCATTCACTGTCTGTGTGAAGCATGTAGGCTACACATCACCATGATAAACAGTCTTTATCATTATGAACTTGTTTAACATTCAATACACATGCATTAAGTTCAAAACAAGAAGGGTATAGCCTTATATAAAAAAAAAACGTAAATATCGCGGTTGCTGCGGTTACGTGCTATCCTCTGCGGTTGACTTGTCAGAAGCGCGGTAGGCCTACTACAATATTGCGATTACCACTACAGCCCTAGGAGTATGAAGTTCTCGAATTAATGAAATGAAAATACGAATGAAATTAACAAGCCACCAAAATGTAAAATAGTTTTGATTTGCCACAACTTGTGATTGTGTTGGTATTCCAGTCCTCAGGCATTTCAAACGGCTCCAGATTCATCAAAAGTGTTGAGAAACCTTAACAAAAACAACACGATATGTCGCATTCCTTGAATAAAAGGTGAATGGTGCTCTGACATCCAAAAGTCGCTTTGATGCTGGAGTGTTGTGGGTGGTTGCCAGGGTGTTGCTAGGTGATTTGTCTCAAATGAAAAAATCCATTCTCTGTGATCATCTAGATATGCCTCCATCAATGTGCATCTGATCTCTAAAATCTCGTCAACACGAGGAATTATTCATGTCTGGAGCACAAATGATGCACACAATCAGCTTTAATCTTAGTTTCACAATTATTATGAGCACTGGTACAGTCATACTTGACTGAGCACTAATTCCACCAGTTGGTTAAGGGTCACGTGAGCACTGCTGAATGGCTCAAAGATGTACAGTCCCTGAGGAGCGCTGCTGTCTGCCTCTGCATTGAGAGAGGCGTCGACTGCAGTGCTTACTGATGAGAACAGAGCCCTGACATCAGCACTACGGTTTGTGCTTATTCACTGGATTGGACAGTAAGTGTGCCGGCAGTGTCGTGCATGCGGAAAACCTCCGCTTGCAACATGATTTTACATTTACATTCATGCATTTCATACTTTATCCAACATTGCATTGAAGATATTCATTGTATCAGTCCATACATTCCTTGAGAATCAAACCTTGGTGTTGCAAATGCAATGCTCCACCGTTTGAGCTAATAGGTCAATCATCTACGATCAATAAAATGACAGTGACTAGCAGACTGAATGCCTCAGTGTTGACCTGTAACACACGTGCGGATGTGAGCTGTACCTGCAGAGGTGTCGGATGTTCCCCGGTGTGACCTCCAGTGTGAAGCATTTCCCTCCGTTCACGCAGAACTTCCTCTCGCTCTCGCTGCAGGGCGTCATGTGACTGGAGGTCTTGGCCGAGGGAGTGGTGCTGGTGGCCGCTGCACAGAACAACACAACACAACTCATAAGAGCTCTGAGAAAGGAGCAGGTTTACCCCAGACGACCTTATTTAAGTGTAACGCTCATCTGAGATCAAGAATTTAAAAGCGTCGTCTTAACTGGATCTGCAGTTTGTGAGTGTGTCTGATCCAAACGACCTTCGTAAAACATCTGCTAAATACTAGAAGAGACAGGCTATTTCAAGCTATTGATCAGACTGAAGTAAATGCAAGGTCATTGTATTTCACTAAAAAAAGAATGTGAGAGCACAGGTAGAGCAATACTTCTCAACCAAACAGCTACTTCATTCCATGCAAACAAAGACCAAAAGATGAGCACCAGTGTTTCAATGTTTCAAATACAGCCACTTACAAAGCAGCAATGAACCATTTAAAGCAAGTGACAATTTTAAAATGAAAACAGCTCAGGCAACCTTGCAAATGTCAATCTATTTCAAGAAATTGTAAATCAGACAACATCAAATAATATCCCACCATACCTGTAACATTGCGATAATATCTGGATATGTGGAAGCGCATGACTCCGGTGTGTCGAGCACTCTGGACCTCTACTGCCTTGCTCTCCACTTCCCATCTGCAAAACCTCTGCTCATCAACATTTTTAAGTGAGCACCTCTGTGGCAGCTCTTACACGTCACGAACTGGCACCGAGTCTACACATCATCAGCGCAGCGGCGAGCGCTCACACTCCTCACACGACGACCAGCGAGGCAAACTAGAGCGCATTACTGGACTCCAGGTGCACTCGTAGTGTACTTCAAATGATAAAAGTACAGATAGATATATAACGTTAATGAAATAAAAGAATACTTAAATATACTTAGTATAAAAGATACTTATTTTTGTAATAATGCGAAATTAAAGTTTTAAAGTGCATTTTAAATCATTATGATATAATAATCTTATGTTATGTTTTAAAGATATACAATTGTTCTCTTGATTTTAATTTGAACTATATATTATTCAATACATTTAAAGTTAACATGTTAAAGTTTAAATGTACTAAATTGCAACTTTATCATTCCAAATGTGTAATTAGTTTAATATACAGGTATCAATAGAAATGACATTAGTTTACTATAAAAGCCTGTCAGTACCATATTTCAATAGAAAACAGAAGTGTGAAATTTCATATAAAGATACACAGTAACACTTTAGAATATTGTTCCATCAAATAATTAATAATTACACGCGAACAAATGAGTAACACATTACTAACACATTAGAAACTACTTTTAACTAAGTAATAGCGCTAAGTTTATTGAAAGAAGTTCACTATTAGCTAATGAATTACTACTATTTTTTTCATGCCTCCCAGGGAATTCATAAATTCTAAAGTGAAGATCATAGTACCTCAGTAAGGTAAGGTTTTGGATAGTAATTCCTTCCTGATAAATTTGGCAACACTTAACTCATTACTAGTGGGTTACTATAATCTTCAATTTAGATACCGATCCAAATAAATATTAATTTCTTTAGAAGGATGCATAGTCCTGTGTAGTTATTCATTAATGATGGAACTGTTTTATAAAGTTTACCAGATGTACTACTTATGTCCTAATTAATTGGGTCAAAAAATCACTCTAATGTTCAGCTAATGTTAAATGCATTTAATATAAATTGAAACTATAATGCATTTTATTTCATTGCAAACAACATGCAATTACATTAAGTACTTAATGTATATTATTTTAAAGCAAATTATTTCTGTAATATGTACCTTTTTTTTAAGTATGCTTAAGTATTTCTTTTTCACAAAGGAAACGGTATCAATATTGTTCTGTCCACACACAAACACAAGCAATCCTTCTGAATCTGTCACCATTCTGAGGAAGGGACGGTGAACCCAACCGTGAATTCCTGACCGCGTACCTCCTGAAGTGACTCATGATCACATACTAATGGCTCTAGTTTCTGCTTTACGCACCAAACCAATTCCACCAGGAAATATTGATAGCCATCTCTAACCACCTCTGACATCGAGTTACTCTCGTTTATGGGCCGGAATCCGTGGCCACATCCGGCCGTCCGGACTTCCCTTCCACACGGTCAGCGCGAGACATGAGCCGCTGAACGCTGGCGATGTTTCAAGGCCAGAATAAAACTCAGCCTTCATCCTGACAGATAATCCAGTTAGTTTGGTTGTGATTTCATAGGTCACAGACCCCATCAGGTGACCACTGAAGCAGGAGACGTTCTGCCTTTGAGCTCAATGTAATTCAATCTTTACCATCCGAACTGCTGATGTTTGAGACAACCAGAACCGCATGAATAATTGACAGCGTAACAGATTGCTTTTGTCCCGTTAATCTAATTGCCGTTTTTCACTCCCATTAAACCTGCAGCATTAGTGATCAGCCACATTTGATCATCCGTCACATAACAACAGCGTTCAGTGTTTTCCGAGGAAGGGAAAGTGACGTGCATTTGCATATGACTGACCATCAGTGCCTGAAAGAAAACGCCTAATGAAAAGACTGTAAGTAGAACGACAAGACTTTAAATAGACGCCATTCATGTGACGTTGGCATCTTGGCATCCTGCGCTCACGTTGACGGGCACCTCTGTGAAGTGGAACCGTCATCAAAACAGCAGGAGAACATCTGAGTCTTTTCAAGGTGACAGAAGAGACAGAAGCCTATTCATTCAGCTCACGTATGAGCACATCTCAAGTCAGAGTCTGTCCGAAAACACGAGTGACGAGCCAAGGAGAGAAGTGAGGAACGGTGAACTTTTTGCTTGTACTTGGGTCTTTTTAAATGTAAATGAACTGACCTGGTCATAAAGAAGTTTTTGTTAATCTGCAAGTCTATGTTTACAGTTAAGTGGTGTTTCTAGAGATGGTGGTATTCGTTAAGGATTGGAATGGTAATGTGGAGTTGACACATAAATCCATGGACCTTCTGTTATCGAGATCTTAGGGTTAAAACTAGAGATGATGCATCGGCCATAATCGGTATCGGTTGATTAAAGCGATTCACTTTCGGCCATCGGCCAATTGTTTAAAAACAGGCGATGATCAACGCCGATCATATATCCTTATATCATTCAAAAGGATGTGGAATGAAAAAAAATGTTTCGGTGCATCTCTAGATAAAACGGTAACACTTTATAATAACTACACGCTAATAATCATTAGTTAAGCATGAGTAAACCATTAATTCATCATTCATAAAGCATTAATAGACATTAATAAGCAGTTCATAAATACAGCTATAAATGCTTTCTTCTTGATTTAAAAGCATATCTATAATTTATTTAATAATTGTATTTTCATCCTTTATTAATGATCAATTTATCATTTCTAAATGAAGAATTGCATTTTTTTATGAGCCAGTTATTTAAGAGTTTTCAGTGGTTCATACGATTACTTAGAGCGAGTAAGTAAATGATTAATAAACTATTTAAATGTACATTTATACATCTTATTATTCAGACATATAGTGATGGTTACTTAATGTGTTAGTAAATGCTTTATTAACATGTGTTAATGCTGTAATTAAGGGTTAATTTGGGTAGTTATAAAGCATTTAGTAGTGGTCAGTTAACTATGTTCGTGAGCTCATCTAAAGTGAGGACTATTCATGCCTTGTAAAGCATTTTCCTTTATAAATGCTTTACAAAGCATGATTAGTCCTCACTTTAGATTAGGTCACAAAAATAGTTAACTAACCACTACTAAATGCTTTATAACCACCTGTATTTACTACATTTACTTACACTTTCTAAGTGAACTTATGAATGACTGACAACTCTTAAACAACTGGTTTGTAAATAATGCTATACTTCATTTCATAAACTGTATATTAATGTCTATTAATGTTTTATAAATGATGAATTAACTGTTTACCCATGCTTAACTAATGATTAATAGTGTGCAGTTATTATAAAGTGTTACCGATAAAACTAATATGAATATACAGTCAAACCAAATTTATTCATACTAAGTTACATAAATGAACTAGTGTCCTGCACCCACTATTAAAAAATATAAAATTACATATGGTGTCTGAATAATTTTTGAATTGACTGCAATAAAGGAAATTGCACATCTTTCACTGGTTCATTTTAAAAGGTCCTGCAGTTATTTCCATGTGTCTCTTAATTACAATGTGATCATTAAAGCGGCATCCATGACAGTTAATAGTGAAGATAAGAAACGTGGTAAAACTCGTCACACCACTGGGCATTTCAAGTTCCAAAAAGTATGTGATTGTCTAGTAAGTTTGCAGGCTTGTCTGTCAGTGAGAATAGCTGCAGAGTCTTAAAATAAACGCTCCCTAAAAATAAGGTGCAATCCACTGCAATGCAGCAGCCTCACTCTCACTCTCCACACGAGAGCTCTCTGCTGCATCGATTTGGTTACATTTCACTTTTTTTTTGCTGGTGGGAAGAAACCAGAGACGCCAGCTCTGCACAGACTCTGCATCATCATCATCATCATCACTCATGCTGCAGTGCAAACCCATTGCCATCTCCTCTGAGCTTCTGCGGGACCAGCAGTTTCTGCTGCGTGTGAGGAGATCTGGCCGGGCACACACACCCGAATCGCTCTCTGCACACACACTGAGGCATACTGTGTTCTTCCAGATCTCAGGTGTATAAACCCAGAATTCTGCTGACTCATACTGCAGGTCTGATGTGACACAGGGAGCGCTGTGTGCTCAAGGCAGGATCTTTCACATCTTTATCTTTCAAACAATGCTTTAAAATATATGTGATTATAACAGCCTCTGCGAGGTACATAACTGCAGTTTGCTGAAAGGCTAGAACCAGTTGAAGACAGTCCCGGTAAAAACCACAAAACCCCTTAATCTATACTTTCATAGCCATTTCACTGTCAACAAACAACTATGAGTTGAAACGTTCAGAAATACAATACTCTCTCGTTTTCTTTTATTGTTTTATTAAAGGGATACTCCACCCAAAAATGAAAATTCTGTCATCATTTACTCACCCTCAAGTTGTTCCAAACCTGT